AGTTTCATTTCTGCCCTTTCTTAGAAGGTATTTTTTCAAATACACAAACATATGGGCTACTACACAGGAAAAAAGATTTCCTCTGGGGGAGATTGTTCACAGTTCACCTTAAATTTAATGCTTCTATTGTTTTTGTTGTTTTAGGTGCGTTCTAAATTATTTGATTTTTCTAAAGTTTCTTTTTTTTTTACTATTCCCAAGGCGCCTCCAAAAGTACATTTCCAGAACTTTAGTATAGTCAAATGTTCAGTCAGTGGACATCAAAGAGATACATGTACTATAAGCAGAAGTACATGTAGATTTACACTATTGACTCCAAGCAAAAAGAGGCTGAAAATCCATCATAACCAGTATCAATCCAGTAACATTTTAGTAAGTAATCTCTTTTTTGGCTAAGTACATGTTAATTTGTGCTCAGCAAATTTGTAATCCAAGGCCGTGTCAGAATCACTTGGTCGTGACTTGAAATTGTGTACAATTTAATGGTTGTGGCTGCATGCACTTCCCCTAGATCTGTGCCTAATTTCAAGCCACAGCCAAGTGATTCATACATGGCTTAAGCTTTTCAATAATCGCCCAAGGTTAAAGAACTGTATCCTGAACTCACCCAAAGTGCTTCACCACCGACATCAGCATCTCGCCGAGTGTGTCCATATCTGGATACGGTTTGCTGTGAAATGTCACAGATGATTCATACATGTAAATCTTGTATAATGATTGAAGTATGCTTACATGTACATGTATTTCATCTGCTTGAAATGTTATGCACTTACATGACTTACACAGATGTATCAATGTACATGTAGTACAGGGATATGCATGAGAACTTTGGAATTTGTTTTGGGGACATGTCCGGACATGCATGAGGGTAATTTCAGAAATTAGAGGTCCATTTTTTGTGCATCCTTGTCACATCTGACATATGATTTTGTAAGTTCGAAACACATTTTCTAATTTCATGAGTGGTGAATTAAAATTACCTGCCAAATAAATAGTAATACATGTAAATGTAGCTTGAAATCAATTTTGGTGATATTTCCATGTCAAATAACAAAGGTCAGATGTAACAGGGACACAAAAATGTCACACTTTTGGATCCCTAATTTCTAGAATTACCCATGTACAAATTGAATGCAATTTCATCCATGTACAGTTGCTACTTTTTGCATAGAAAGGAAAGCAAACAAGGAAGATTTATCACACACAAAAAGGCCGACGAAACAATTTTACAACATAAAATCAATGTACCGTAACCCTACCTCTAAACCTGCAGAAATACTTTGTATGAGGAAGACATCCTAAATAATCACTCAGCTTTCATTAAGAGTGATATGGCTAGTAATACATGTATAAATGCCTCAACAAGAGAGGAGTGCACAAGTGTCTCATTGGGTCTCTAACTCCAATCTTCCTGAACCCTTCAAATTCCAACCAGATCTCTGCAAACTATTCTCATGCACAATATGACATGTACATGTTCATGTATATTCTAAATACAGCATTGCCATCATTATTTTGAGCATTTCATGTTCTAACTTGCTGATTTTAACGCCAGTACATGTACATGTACAAAACACGATCCACTGACTAACACACATGTACATGTACAGTGTTAGATATTGACAGACAAAATGTATATTCCTCACACAACAGCCCATGGGACTTTGGATAATTGTAACGTAATGCAAGCTTGAACACCCTAACTTGGCCAATTGGCAGTATACAGTGGATGGAATTATAAATGAGGCATACATGTACATCGTCTGTTCTCGTATCGATTTCAAACGAAACCGATCCAAGTCGATGAGCACATCTTCCCCCCACCCCCCGGAGCTCGCCAACCTTTATGGCTCCTTGTGAATACCCTCGTCTCCCGTTTCCCCGCTTCCATTGTGCACTATTCGTGGGATGCCTGTCACCCAAGGCCTTGTCTGAGTATTCACGACCAAAAGCGGGACAAAAGCCAGCATCCAGGAACTGGATATTTGCTACCCCTAGTCATTCCTGAGGGGGCATTATGACAATTCTCACGAGTGCAGTCCACCGCTCGAGCACGGCACAATCAGTTCCAGAGAAGTCAAACAAAGCACTTTCAGTCCTTGTTTTTAAGGAAATGAGATTTTGTAACCTCCAGGGATATTTACAGCCAGACAGACTGAAAAACCGCTATTTGATAAAAAATGAAAAAAATTACATCCCGTTGGGTTTTTTACATGTACGAGTACTGTCCAATGAATGAAGTATTGGCAAGAATGCACATAGCCCCCCTAAATGGCTCAGCACATTAGCTTGCAGATCCATGCACGTCATTCTGCCTTCTCTCAGTGATTTAATTTTCAATCCTTCTGCTGACGGCCAAATAATACGTCGAAGACAGATTCAATAATGCCGGGGGGGGCTCAGACATACGTGAACTCAGACTGTTTACATTTGTGTGAATTTGTAAAGTGAGCCTGACAGTGGAAACTTGTGCCGCACTCATAATGTTGAATGTTGCTCTTGATATTTTGTCTGCGACACAAATCGCATCTTATCGAATTATGTACATCCTAAATTGTACATGCACGTAGTGCCTAGCTCTTCACTTTCTTGTTGTTCTCTAGAATTCTCACTTTACATTTACAACCTGAGGATTACAAGTATGGATACTTCATAAAAACATGAAGTCAGGATAATGTGTGTTCAGCTCAGAGGGTAATTTACAATAATTCAAGAACACAAACATGACGAAAGGAGCACTTCACAATAGGGTGCACGTCCCCCAAAGATTTATCCACAAAAGGGTCTATTTCTGCCATGTCGGTTGACACTGATAACGACACGTATACGTGTGTACGACAAGCTCTGTTGGCTACAGCACCTTAAAGAAAGGAGATATCCAGCGAGTGAGATCGATAAGAATCAACCAAATGAGTTCACAAAAAAACCCTAATATTTTTTGAGGTAGTTGCAGAGGAAATCAATTAACTCGGATAGGCCAAAACATGCAAAATTGTGGAGTTGGGCTTTTTTTTTCTTAACGAGGTATTCAACTGTATGATGCACTCGCTGTTTATAATTCAAGGTAATAAAAGCAGATGAAGTAAGAAACTAAAAGGATCAGAGCAAGACAATGAGAAAGAGTGACCAAACAACAGGACCTACCCCTCTGGCAGCTGATGCGCCCCTTGTTCCTGGCCTGGCGCATTGACGTGATAGACGCAGCACTGCTTCAAGATGGGCGTCATGTCAGGGAAGTTGAAGAATCCTTGAAAGCATGTCACGTCTGAAACCAAACCCACAAAAACTTCACAAAACGGATTTCAGGGCAAAAATCTACCAAGTTCATTCCCAATAATGAATAGATTTTTGTTCATTCAATGTGCTGGATGCATTTGTCTTATTGACTTCTGCATGAGACACTTTCAGAAGGTACATGTACATACATGTACTAAAATTTAAACCTCGGAAAGCTCAGCCCCCCCGACAAGGGCACCGTATAGCAGGGCCCTACATGTATTTTTCAGAAGCCATTTGGGGCTAAAAGCAGGGTGAGAGCTCCTGTTAGAAGTTAGGACATCTTGATCTTACAGCACATGTACATGTACATGTATTTGGCAAAAATGTAACCAACACCCAAATCCGCTGTTTTGCAGCATATATTACATTGATATACGATATTGTATACATGTATAAAGTACATGTACATGAAATATCCATCTGATTTAGACATACATGTACGTACCCTTGTACAGGTATCTTTCAAATGACTTTGGGCTTTAACTTCAGGCAAAAATGCCGACTTTCAGAAAGTCACAATGAGACAAACACCTACAGGTACATGTACATGTATACACAGGTATTTTGTTCTACTCACGATTAAGCCCAATGTCGTGGTATGTGATAATAGCTGGCTTGGTTTTGTCACCCTGTACGGCAACCAGCATAATACCATTGTCGTCTGGAACATAAACAAGCTGTTGATAGAAGACACAAATACCAGTATGTAACATTTCAGCGGTGTCCTCAACCCCTGCATCCTCAACCTTGACATGCCTGACTATGTAACAGTGAATACTTCACAAGTTTTCTTGCAGTTGAAAATGCTAATTGAAATTAACATTTTCAACTTCAGGAAAATTGAAGTCCAAGACATGGAACTTGAAGGTGTTGAGCCACTAATTATTTTGCAAGGCATGTACATGTAAAAGTGTGTGAGTACACGTTAAGTAACCTTTTCCTGCCTTTATCATCTACAATATCCATCTTCCATAGCACATGCGTACGTACACGTGCACAGGTACATGTGACTGCACTGTCATATTTTGAGAGCACAAGCCAAGTTTGAAGCCACAATCACAAAATGAATCCATTACCTATTGCACGTGAAACATGATCTGTATACATGTATGTCTCACAGAGCATGGCGAGAATGAACAAAAATCAACGGTTCACTTCAAAAGGATACTCCACATACGTATGTAACGTATGCACACATGTACATGTATTTCATACGACGGTGCAACGTGACCAATAATGCCCTCTCCTGTTCTCACAGAATACATGTAGCTTAAGTTTTAGCTATGTTTTTTAACAAAACACTTTTTATGCGGAACTGGAGCAATTTATTCGGCGACCACTGTAAACACAATATGGCAGCAGAGGCAACGGACAACTGTAAACTCTGCATGGCTTGAGTTGTTAAGTACTGTTCTCATGATGCCCACCTCATATGGGACTGTCTTCTCCCCATCCTCTTTAAGCAGAGGACTCTTGTTGGTGTCCTCAAAGCCGTCAAAGTTCCTGGCTTTGGCGTCGGTCACCTCTACCTTAAAGAGCTCCATGGCAGCCGGCACGGCTGGCTGGTCAGAGTCCAGCCTCTGGTAGGTGTCCTGGGGGACCTCGGCCTGGACATGGGTCAGGTTGACCTCCCCTTCCTCGGGCTCTGAGCCGGCCAGCTTGTGGTAGGACATCTTGTATTGGATGGAGGACGTGGCGCCTACTTTGTGTCGTGGACTGAAAAGGAAAAGACCAGCACAAGAGGGTTACTGGACTGATTGCATAAAGCTACATGTACATGTACATAATGGGTTAACATAGGGACAAGAGAAAATCCAAAACCGTAAACTTAACGTATATAATAAAAACATCCATCTTTTAGATCTTAGGGGACAACATCACAAGAAATGTACACATGAACCCATGTTCAATCACAACAGCATAAAGCTGCTAGTATGCATTACGTAAAGGCAGTACTACATGTACATGTACAGTGTATGTACAGTGTACATGTGTGCACGTATACCAATGCATGTGCTGTTCATTCCTTCACATACATTTACATGTAAACAAATTTTTGCAGTAATCACTACATCTACCCAAATATTTGTGAATTAAATTTGAATAGAATCAACAGCCGATTTCACGAAATGTGGTGTAACTTTGAACCATACCTTCCGCCACAAGTTTATGACATACATGTACATGTGTAGCTGTGCAATATGCTTACGTTCATTTTCACAAAAAGTTGCGTGCGTGCACCACGTTTTAATAATATTAAAGTTCTTGGATGGGGACAAAAACGGCTTTTACGATGGCTTTCTTTTCCAATATAATAGCAGTCATCAAACAGAATAGTTTTCCTCTTTTCTTCGTCTGAACCGGACAAAAAGTTTTGCAGTTTTCTCACAGCCAAACAAGTTTATTGTTACCTTTTTGAACAAAGTTGTCCATTTCTCGTATAATCCTTTAAGTTCAGCAATGATGAAGCTTAACCCAACCTGACAACCTAGTCAAATTGTTCGTTTTCGCTTCATTTTGGCGCAACTTACGCCACCTAAAATGACTGCGTACGTTACGCCAAAGTTTGTTGCGTAGGTCGTGGACTTATGCAGTCTGTAATTTTCATGAAATTGGTCTTAATGTGTTGCGCAATTTACGCAATAACATGTACATGTAGTGTAAGTGGAGTTACACCATTGCGTAAAGTTTTGTGAAATCAGCTGCTGATATACTGAGTTCTTTAAATTCACGTGAACATAACAATTTGAATTCTCCATACAACAAATACTGTTGCTATACCTCGTGATTCGGGGCAAGCTCTTGCTTAGTTACATAAGAGACGGATTGCAACAGTACACTGTTCTCAATGGATAAGACAGGCACAAAGGAGCCAGTCCATTCCAGAGATGGTGGTCGCTATGCAAAAGCTTGCCCCGAATCACGAGGTACAGCAACAGTGTCTTTAGCCTGGGGAATTCAAATTGCTACATTTATGTGAAATCCCGTAACTCAGTGTACCAGATTTTATTCACATTAAACTCGCAAATGTATATGTAAATGTAAGCCTACAGCACATGTACATGTATTTATTTGTACATGTACTAGTATGCACATGTACTTCCCACAATTTGTGGTACAAGTTCATGACATTCTGTAATTTTTCATTCAAATCCTCCCTAAATTAAAATCTATTGGTATTCGGTACAACAACATAGAAACTCCTATAAAAAATGTGCTGCAGGAAAACAAAGTGACTATTCAACATCTTGATCCATGCAAACAGAACACGCAATAAATATTCAACCATCTTGATCCATGCAACCATCAATGTACTCAACTGCATCCTGCACGCAATGTGTTTGTAGAATGAGAAGAGAACTACAAGTACATGTCACCGGCCACGCTGGCAGAAATCACAGACCATGCCAAACAATCCTCCTCATGATGATTGCAGAAGAGATTCCCCGCACGCACACAGCCCTAGACGGGGGCCGACACGACATCCGCAGTCCACTGACAAACTGTGCATGTGCCCCACACCTTGCTCTGTACAGACACAGACAGAGCGTTTGATCTCTTCCCCAACTCTCCTGTCCCGCACTCAGGCCACAAATTTGTGTGATACGCTGCCCCGCAAGGCGTATACTAATCGGATGAAATGAGCACCCCGGACGTGTTAATTTAATCGGCACAACGGGGGAGGAAGAGCTGCACCCAGCACTGCAATCAAGGCTTCTAGCAATGTAAATGTCCTGCCTGCATAATACAAATACATGCCCACATAGATGCACAAAGTACTTACAATGTATATGTATGTACTCAGCTGAAGGGCAGTTGAAACGTATATGTACATGTACATACAGTAGAGGTTGTTTATTACAGTGCAGTCAAATTAAAGGGGGGACACAACTTTTTTGTTCAAACTTAAACTCCCTTGACATTTTTTATTTAGGAACCTTCCATAATGCAAGGTGTGTCCACCAGTGGCACATTCCTTGTACTATTCGCTTCCACTGGGCATTTACATGTACATGTACATGTTGCCCATCCAGCATGGCCAGCAAATAGCTGGGTTCAAGCTTTCTCAATATTGCCCAAACTTCCTCTAAGTAGATTTTGAAGGATCTTGAAGGGTACTACCAGACAGAGTCAACAGCGTCCCTGAAAAGTGTGCTTTCTCCATCCAAATTGCCTGATTATTTGCAAAGTCCTTGTTTTACCATTGGAATAAGGGTTGCAGTTAAAAGCCTTCCAGATTATCATGCAAATGAACAATTGCAAAGCCGTGAGCAAAACAGTGCTATCAAATTGCATACAATTCAGTGTACATTGTAATTACAGTGAGTCACAAGCGCAAAAAGATGCCTGATTTTTTGTTTGCTTCTTTTTTACTTTTATTTTAAGACAGCAATCACATACGCAAAGTATAAGGAAGGTTCCATCATGAGCAAACTGTTACAGAGAGCCATCACTAGCCACTCAAATGACTCCATCAAGCCGTTTTAAGGATGTGACTCGAGTTGAGTCGATGGATTAGTAGGGTCAGATTGAGACATGTGAGCTACCAAACTGAACATTAATACCTGTAATTTGATCGGAAAGTCCTTAACTGTAACACGGAACAACACCAGCAGGTGTCAGCAAATATTGACACTGTGCTCAGTGCTCAATTTCAGGGTGAAGTGCACTAATTTGAGTGAAAATGTCTGCTGAGCTCATTAGCATAAAAAGTGCCCTACGGTTTCTTTTGAAATGGGAAATTGTTTGCCAGAACTGGAGGGATAATGATTACAATAATAACAAAGCACTTATCGGGTGTAAGGCACTCTTAATCTGTAAAATATTCAAAGGCGTTGGTCTAAGGTGGAAAACAAAAACTCAATTTTGTGTTCATGATGAAAAAGCTAGTGAGTCAAAAAATGTTTTGAGATGCTGCTGAAAATGTTTGATGTCATGTTCTTGTCGCAAACAATCAGGGAGCGAGCTCTACAAGCAAGGTGCAATGCTGGAAAAAGCTCCATCTCCATAACTGGTCAGCCGAGTCCGGGGAATAACAAGGGTATTGCTTATTGACCTCAGACCTTAGGGATTGTGTAAATATGGGCCAGGATCAACTCCCTGGGTTTTGGGGCTCCCATTTGAGGGCAAAATTGATAAAATTACGAATGGAAAAACCATCCTCAGTGTCCGGGATAAAACGATGCCAATCAAAAAAATGGCTGTGAGTAGGCTTGGGAATTATCACTTTACAAGGGGTCAGTTTGTTTGGCGTATATAATTAAAAATTTAATTGGCTAGTCCACCAAACACTGGAAAGACCAGGGTAAAGACAATAATTTATGTTTTCTTTGAGAAAATTCAGTAATGTCAGCTTGCAAGTGAAGCTGTGTCTGAATCACTTGGCTGCGGCTTGAAATTACACATGACTCAATGGGAACTAGCCACAGCCACTACCACAGACTTGTCATGCTTGTTTGTAATTGCTAGCCACAGCCAGTTAATTTGGACATGGCCTTATCAAGCCCTGAACTTTGTTTTTGCACTGTTTTCAATGGGGCTGGCCTTTTAGTTCATGGCATCCCTCAGCAAGCAGGAGCTGAAAACAAGATCATGGGTCCACTCAGTGCAGAGGATTTATGGAAGTTACCGGTGAATACATGTAAAAGGGAGGACATGCTCATTTACCAACTACTTTCACAGGAGGGCGCTACATAAAAAGAAGGGTTCTTTTGGCAAGCAGTATAACCAAATACCAAATGTATCAAAACCACATAACTTTGTGAACGTACATTGTAAAAAGTCAGGAAGTTCTTAAATTTTTTAATTTAATGTACTCAACTAAATTACTCTTCTCATTCCAAGATAACTTTGCAACAAGGCAATTCACATCCACACATACATGTACATGTACCGGTACATGTACACGTACAGTACTGCAAATATTCTTATAACATCAAGCAATCGTACATGTACACGTTAGTACTACCAAGAATGGCAAGATGATTGGTGGAGTGGTATAAGAATCAAAGCCAAAATGAAAAAAATGTAGTGAAGCAGAGACAGGGACTGGTACATGTACATGTACATACATGTACATACATGTACATACATGTACAGGTACATGTACATGTACAGGTACATGTAGTCATGTATAACCTATATGTACAACTGCACCATGGAGGACTTCTGCATGCCAGATGCAGAAGTTAACTTGATCGCCGTGTGTGTGCACACTGTGCACGTCTGTTTGATTGCTTCATCAAACAAAGGGTACTTCATTGTTAATTACGGTAAAGTGTCTTCAACAGAAGCATTTAATGTGAAAATTCCAACTGATTTACATGCACAGCCGTTTCCATGAACTCAAGAAAAGACACGTTTTCACAATAGACAGGTACAAATGTGGCTGTGCACATTTTAAATATGGTACCATTAATTAAATTTTGAAGAAACAAGATGGAAACTTAAAGATTTTGATATCTTGGCTAAATCTCACAATAACAACGTTGAGTACATTCTCACAAAATCTTGTTTGGCAGTCTGGCAGCCATGCATTCAGAATTTCAATCCAATTGCTTCCAGGAACCTTCACCCACATGTAGGACTAATGTGATTTGAAGCATTTATACCAGAATCTGAAGTACATGTACATGAACCTGTGTGCATTAAAGTACACAAGTAATCAGATGAAATGCAACCGGCAGAGATCCAAGGCTAGAAGATGGATAATTTTATTACACTAATTCTGTGCATATCTGGCTGTGTTTCATCATCGATGAATGTTTCCATAAGGTGTGCAGGTATACATGTAAATGGCTTCATTGGAGTATCACTTCTGGATGTGAAATCAATGTATACTGCTGATTGGTACCGGTACCTACATGTATACATTGTACCGGTATGTGATCAAGTTAACACGTACATGTACGCGTTAACTTGATCACATACCAGTACAGCGTACATACATGTACATGTACATTGGTATGACACCGTAAAGGGGAGGGGGAAGGGAGTAATAAATAAGCAGTCTCCATGTACAATGCATTTTTATGGCCCTTCCAACAAGCATACAAATACATGTACATGTATGTCAAAACAAAATGTGGGACTTCCTGTAGTTCATGACAAAACCATACAGTGTACTCACAGAGTAGGTGGAAGTTTATTTTGAAAGGGGAAAGTGCCAGAACAGCTGAACCTACGGTACATGTATGTATGTATACAATGTACATGTATCGTACAATTGATCTCACGGTTCCATCAATCAAGCCCAACCCTGGTGTGCTATCACATGCATAATCTGACCATGATGATAAGGGAAGTACATGTACAGTACATGCACATGTATCATAATGTTGTTCATGTTGGGGCAGTGGATACTTGTGAACTGGTATACTGTACAGGATGCTGACAGGGATGCATATTTGCCAGCATACCGTACTAAATGACGATCGTACTAATCACTGTCAACACATCATCCACACAAACAGTGCCACTATGAAGGACACAGGAGTTTGAACTGCCCGGGCTGTAACATCTGGCCAATTACCACTTTCTGGCATACCTGGTACATGTACAGATTTTTGTGGACGAGTCTTTCAGGATGACTCAACACGTAAAATCAAAAGAAAAAATAACGACAATTGACCGCAACTAACATACATGCGATGGTCGTGTATCTTGTGCAGTGGGCGTGGTTTAAATTGAAGTGGCGTCACACTTACGAACCGGATACTCCATGTACTGTGTCGACTCTGCGGGCGCGCGCGACGAAGTTCAACACAGAGAGCTTCGGTTTCGATGCAGATACATGTATGCGCAGACAGCGCTAATGTGAAGTCCCTCTATGATCGCTGCAGCAATTTGTCGATGGTAATCTGCATCCTTAAAACTTCATGTACTGAGCTATAGGAAATTGAACATTCATGCCTTTGTTGGTGCTTGGTATAATCTCATGACATCAAATTTAATGCTTGTGCAGTTGCCTGCAATATGCTGTGTGCCCTAAATCTACATGTGCAGTCCTTGCCCTTAATGAACTCTTTCTCCTGGAGTTACATGTATTTTGGGAATAAATAGCCCGGTTGTTTACAAGATTTTGTGTTTTGCTTGAATCATTTTTATTACGGCATTTGTACAAAGGCATATTTTATGAGATTTCACGATTACTCCCAGTGATCAGGTGATAAAATAGCACATTTTTTCCTGATGACCTAAGCTTTCCAGTGGTAGTGAACATTTTTCTTGGCCAGTCTTAGCCAAATTCGAACCAAGTCTTTGAACACTGATGTATTGGACGGAGAATAAAATTGCAAACTTTGCATGGATAATGGAAGAGTGTATCAAAATTTTAAAAGTTTATTTATGATGGCAAAAGTACATGTACGTCAGGAATTTTTCTCACTCTATGTCTTGGTCACATCAATATAATTTGTATTTAATTGCAAGTAAAACACTACAAGTATTGCCAGGATATTACTGACCCCGCTTGACCGGCTAAGATGCAGGCAGTGATCAGGCATTTTTGGAATGTTTTCTATTATTTGTCCGACTCGGCGGCGACCATCATTGATTACTTTGAAGTGCCTGAGTTGCAACTCCTGTGTCCTTCCTCTATGCACCAACACACAGTCAACAACTTACATACATTCTCAACAAAAGCAGTATTGAACCAAAATTACCTTCTTGCATTTTATAAATAACAAAAGATTAGATGATTAAAAATTTCCAAATACATGTAAGTTCATGAAAATCACCTTTAAGAAAAGCTCTGAAATCGGCAGTTATGCTGCTTTGGGGTGGTGGCGCAGACAATACCATTAAGACAAAGGGGTGATAAACCAACAGAGGGCCATCATTATGTGTGCATGTAAGTCTACTGAAAGTAAAACCTTGCAATAAAACCAATGGGTTAAGATAAAATTGAAACAACACAAGTCAAAACATTTATGATCAATGATCCTGAGTGCACCATCCCTTACCAACTATCTGCAGCAAGGCGCCCTCTGTTGTCTATAGCATAATAATAAACCTTTTACGAGTTACTGTAAATCAAAAACAAAATCTGGCACACTGAGTTCCATAAAGTCACATGAACATACGTGTAATTTGAATTCTTCAAACTTTTAAGACACTGTTGCTAAACTTGCAACAGTACATGTACATGTACACAAACATGAGAGTGCACAGTTACATGTACAGTAGTTCACCGTGGCCAGCTAACGATAAAAAAATAAATCACAAGGGGTGTGGCCTCGATTGTCCAGAGCTACTGCATTTTGGGGTAAATTTCAGTCCTCCCCCCACAAAAAAACATACCCCCGATTAAAGTCCCATCTTTGCCCTCGGTAAAATGCTGTTGTTTTTTCCGACAAACATATTTTTGGTCATTTTGAGGCCAGTGCATACCCTTTCCTAGAGAACACATTCCCACTACTCTGAGGACTATTTTCAGTATGTACATGTATAATGTGTTGTCCAATGAAACGTCCCGTCCATGTGACCTATGAAATAAGAGACAAGCTGTAGTTGGTGAACGTCATCAGCACGCCATTCAACCGTTAGAGATTTTCTTTCATTCGAGAGTGAAAAGACCCTCAATAGCAAGAGATGAGAGCCACGTTGTAATTGGTCAAGCTGCAACACTGCTGACAATGATGACCTTTCAACTGACATGACCATGTGAGCTATGCAGGCAGTCATGGACACGGGTGTGGATAAGGAAAATTCTCATAAATTTCACCATTTTAAATGGTATGATGTACATGTACATGTAAATGAACCCCCATCCCATTACAAAATTGTATCCCAGGAGACCTCATGAAATTGTAGGGGAAAAACCGGTGTGACTAACAGCATTCAAATTTCATACAAACCAAAGTAGCACCATGTCAGATATGACTATTTACGTTACTATCTGTAAGGTTTGTATAAATGTTATGATTCTGGAAGTACATCTGTGCATACATTGCAAAAAAAATGTCATTTCCGGTATCTGGAAACAAATTTGCAGTTTCTTTTATTACACTTGGCATGCCTGACCTTTAGTCACAGGAGTCTCTAAATTATGAAAATTCACTTTTAAATCTTTAGACATGTTAGAGGGTATTTTGAAGTTGTTGACGCTTTGTTGACGCAACATGTACATGTATTTGTGCGTGTTGACGCTTGTTGACCATGCTGACCGTGACGCTAAAACAGCACGACCGGTACCGGAAATAGGCCCATATCATCATGATGTACAAGTACATGTACTGTAGGCCATGTAGTACTGTAGGCTAGTCTAAATAAATGATGATCATGTAACTTACTTTTTCTTCAAGTCTTCTGGCTTTCAAATTCTAGATATAAATGATAATAACACTGAAAAATAGTGCTGCCTTTAGTTTTATAGGAGAAGTGATGCCACCTTTAGTTGAAATTAATATGTCCTGCCAACGCTAAGGAAAAGTCGACGACGCAATAACCACCTGCTCATAGCTCCATGATATGACCAGTGAAATATTTGGAATACCTGGTCATTGTACTGCAGTACATCCCCGGCTTCTCTCCCGTTTGCATACGTTGTATTCTCAATCAAATGCTAGAGCCTGACTAAGGCCATGCCTCAAACGAACATTATTGTATACGGCTACAGCTCTTCGCCCTAGTGCAACAATGCGGAGAAAAGAAGTCGTAGCCTTATTTTTAAACATTTTAGACTCGATTGCGCCCTCAATCGTCGAGTCCAAAACTTGTGATCAGGTACTAGGTGAGCGTCTGGAGTCCTGAAGTAAATTCCTGCTAGTATTTATCTCTACAAAAAATCATAGCACTCGCTCACGTCACATGTATGTAGCACCCATGGAAGGCGTCAGCATTAATTTCTTCGAGGACCAGTACACATCCAAAAGTCTCAAGAAATGAAGAACAGAGCACTCAGTATTGTTCCTATACATGCTATATTTCTCACTGCAATCTCAACATTATTTGCATGTTATGCTTTGTCATCAAAGTTTACACATGAAGAAATTTTGCGGTATAGGTAAGCATGTCATTGTCATTTCAGTTACAACATGTACAATGTATGTAAAAATCGACACATGAGCATGATGAGCGTACATGTACATGTACTTGGACCCTATTTTTTGTGAATTTAGATCCGTAAATAAGAAGAAAATGCAACTTTCTTACCATATGTTCTGACACTGACACACTGAACACGGTTTCCGTAGTTTTTTTACCCCAGAATCTCCCTCATTCATGTAAATCAAAACCCTGCCCTCTTTTCACCTAATTAATCCTGCAGTTATTTACAGATGTAGCTTGGAGTGTAATCTAGTAGTGTGAGTTTTAAAGTTTAAAAGTAAGTTTCATTCTATTGTAGGAACAGGGTCCTGAAATTTACAAACGCCATGATTGTTGAGTATAAGCACTTTGCACAACCTCCAATATTAAGACTTTCGTCAGGAAGTCTTCATTAGAAAGTTTCTGCACTGTATCCTGACAAAGTATTCGAATTTTGGCCTGCTTTCTGCCCAATTTTTCACCAGTGTTACTGAAATAAATCTGGAAATGACATATTGTGCCAAGCAGTTTAAGAATTCTGAACACAACTGAATGATCATGTAGTTATTTCCAAAGATTTTGTGGTTCGTGACCAAGTCAGGTGGGGTATTAAGGTAAAATGGTTCCCATTTTTTTTCCCGTTGTAATAAAGTGAGAGTAGGCCAACATTTAAGAATGCATTTCATGGCATTTGCAGGCAGGCTTACACCATCCATAGGGAAATAAAAATGCACCATGTCCACAAGATATTTAATAAACATGATAAATGGCTTCATCAACCTGACCACCATCATTTAACCATGACCATGATATTGATAATGTTTCTGTCTAGGTTTTTCTTAATCATGTTAAATGTAGGCCTATCCCATATTTCAAATCCATTTAATTGTTACTCTTTTAAATTAAATCCCAAGTTCAGTTGCAAGACATTTCAATTTTCACATTTTTTGTGATTTGTGGCTGTGGAGGGTTTTAAGGGAAAAAAGTCTGACATGACATTAGTTCTTAGTTCCAATTTGGGAATTCATAGTGACAGTGGCAATTTATTCGTAAAACCAGACAAAGAAAAGTATCAAATTTTTTAGACCCCAAACTCTCACTGCACATGTTCAGTTGTGTCAGTGCAAAACTTGCAAAATATGTTACTCACGGGGATAGGTCATTGTGTGGAATAATTCCATACTCATTGTCCACTTCCCCAGGACCATTATTTGCTTAGAGACTTACGTGTAGGTAATGTGTAAAAGACTCACCTGTGAATCAGTTGAAATTGTTGGGTAGTTGAACATGCCATTTTTTGGCGTGAAATTGAAATGGTTGCCTTCTTTTAAACCTGTCCGCCTAAGTTACTAAGCCCCCGTTTACGTCTCCAGCCCCCCTAATTATTTTGTTGTCTCTGTTTAAAATCGTTAGGGTTCAACAATGTCAAGAAGTGGCAAATGAGTACGGAATTTTTTCCCACTGCAAATATCCACTGCTTTTTTTTTTCTTTTTCCAATTTCCACTAAAATTGTAGAGAGAGGGCGCGGGCGATGTTCTACCATGGCTATGAGAATTACCTGAATAATGCCTTCCCATATGATGAACTGCGACCTTTGACCTGTGATGGTATGGACTCATGGGGAAGGTGAATTCCATTAACTACACATATCTTTACGGTACTTCTTAAAATACGCTACTCAAAAAAAGTTAAGGACCACTTTTTTCTTGTAATTTTTTTCAAGCAACAAGTGGGATCTAGTTCTTTCATTTTTTGTTAGTCTAGATGGTGTTCGCATTGGAATAAAAAATTTAAAAATGTTTCAAAACATCAAATGCACATTTTCAGCAGTAAAATATCTCCTATAAAAAAGTATGCACAAAATAAAAAGTGGTCCTTAACTTTTTTGAGTAGTGTATGTACACATGTGCCCATGATGCGTACGTGCTGGTTTTCAGAAATTGGCTCCCCACGACCAATATTAAAAACAGCAAAGTTATTCAAGAACAAAGCAAGAGTGGGTATATAACCTAGCTGATCATGCTGATCGGACCGACCTCATACCTGCAAAAATGCTGTTCGGGAATGACCTTAGACTTGCTTCAGTTTGGGCATGTGCTGTTAGAATGCTGAATTAGCTCATTGAAATAAGCCTTTTGCGAGTTAAATTTGACTAAAATCTGGTACAAAGAGTTATGTGATTGCACATAAACAAAACGATTTGAATTCCCCAGAATAAAGATACTGTTGCCATACCTTGTGATTCAGGGCAAGCTTTTGCATAGCGACCGCAATCTCTGGAATGGACTGGTTCCTTTGTGCCCTTCTTTTTCCATTGAGAACAGTGTATTGTTACAAGGTGTCTCTTATGTACATATACATGAACATGTAAATGTATGTACATGTAACTAAGCAAAGCATGCCCCAAATCACAAGGTATAGCAACAGTGGTTTTAGTATGGAGAATTCAAATTGTTATGTTCACGTGACTTTAAAGAGCTCAGTGTAACAGATTTCATTCAAATTTAACTTGCAAAAGGCGTATTGATACATGTATCTAAAATTGGCTTTTATTGACATTTCAACAAATTTGGAAATTATACACGTACATGTACATGCATGCGTGATGTAGGCTTGACCCAAACTGAACACTTTTAATGTTTTCTAATGCTAAAATTTCGCAGGATGAGGTGGAGAGTTGTTGTTTTTGTCTTTGGCTGTCTGTTTTTGGTTGTCTTTCAGCAACAACTTTAGTCACACAACACTCTGGACGTGCTTTCAAAACTACTAAAGACACTAATGCCCATATCTTTAATTCATATACCCAGTTAAGTACTTACTGACGCTTTAGAGGCAAGGTTTTTTCCGTTTGCAGATCAGCAAGATTTATTTAAAGCTGCACGGCTTTTCAAAGCCTCACATATTATGGTCATATCTTCACTTGATCCTTTCCCTTGTCAGTTACTCCCTGACCCTCATCGATGCCCTGGACACCCTGGCCATCATGGGGAACCACAGCGAGTTCCGCCGAGTGGCCACACTGCTACAGAATCACCTGGACTTCACTGAGGACATCAACGTGTCCGTGTTTGAAACCAACATCAGAGGTTAGCCCCTGTATTTAGAACATTGCTAGTTGTCTTAAACTGGTGCTTTGCTGCTGGTCAGGCATAAAGCATTGCTGAAAAATTCAAGGCGGAGGTTTATCACTGCAGATGCTGGATTGACGTGTACCAGTGTGTGTAGAAATGCGCCATCTCTTGATTACACATTGCGTATGACATGTATGAGGCACTGTTCTGTCATGCTGCTCCAGCTGATCACTCATGTCAGGTTGCCAAAAGGCACATTAATTAAGAGTGCATGTCTTTAATGGCTTTCATGCCCACATTTTCTATGCCTTTTTTGCAATTGCTTAGTATGTGACACCCACAAGCCATCTAGTTATATATCAATCCCGGAACAGGTACCATGTGTTGTCAAAACAAAATCAAAGCCTTAAATGTGGGAAACTATTTTTTCCAAAAGGATGGCAGCAAATTAAAGCCAATTTAAGGTTATCAAGGTTTCGCTTGGCAGAAGTAAGGTGTTTGCGTATTTCAGGAGCATGATGTCAGTGCAGCTCGTAAAATTGTGTCCAGTTCAAAATGGACGAGGGCTGACAAAATCTGAGACCAAAAAACCTCGACGTACAAAATTCCATGCTCAAACAGCAAATACATCAGTTTCCCATGAAGTCCAGTAAAGTTTAAGAATCCTAAATCTTAAATTGAAACATATAAAGTAGCAATTGGCTTAGCCTATTGCCCTCTGTTTAATCAGTTTTAAATTGGGTACACATAGTTCGTCCTGCTTTAAACACAATTTGTTTGTTTTTTTCAGTTGTAGGAGGGTTGTTGTCAGCGCACCTGTTGTCTCATAGGGCTGGGGTGGAGTTGGAGCCCGGATGGCCCTGTAAGGGCCCACTGCTCACATTGGCTGATCGAGTGGCTAGGAGAATCTTACCAGGTACGGCAGAAGACAATATTTCATGCAGAATATGAAGTTGGATTTTAAAAAACAAAAGAAATATTGACTTATGGTTTTAATATTATGTCATGAAGGGCACACAATTGCATTTCTCTAAAAGAAACGAACAAAGCAAACTGTTTCAAACGTTGAGGCCTTTCTCACCACTGGCTCTTCTCAGAGCCAATACTTCTTTCTTAAAGAAATTGTTGGCATGGCATACCCGCAATCAACACATTGTTGTACATTTATGCAAAGCTTTAAACAACACCCAAATTGGACTGTTAATTGAAAAAATATTCACTGAATCTTAAATTAAATTCGTAAATTTGCCACAGTACCATTTATCTCCTCTGGTGTGCAAAAAGCTCTGCCACATGACAGTAGATGGTTGTACATGTACGTGTATTGTGATTTCCATTGTGTTGAAAAAGCAGCATGAAGATGTCATTGCCATGAATTTTAATCCACCCTGTATTGAATTGAACATCAAGGCAATAAGCAGGATAAATTAAAAGAAAGTTTTCCTCCAACTCTACCCAAGTTTCCCTGAGTTTCTCCCCCCCCCAAAAAATTTTCTGCATCGCCCATCGTTGCAGCCTTTGACACCCCAACCGGTATGCCCTACGGCACAGTCAACCTGGCCTATGGTGTCCCCCCGAGAGAGACCCCGGTCACCTGCACGGCGTGCGTGGGGACGTACATCGTGGAGTTTGGCACCTTGAGCAGACTGACTGGAGATCCCATCTTTGAGGAAGCGGCTCTCAAAGCTCTGAATGCACTGTGGCAGTGCCGATCAGACATAGGATTGGTAGGAATATTGCTTGTCCTTCCATGTTGGAAATCATACATGTCAGTCCACCCATCGATTTGTTCTACCTGCCTGCGGTCATAACTGATTGTTAAACACACTTTTTTCAGAATGATGCTTGGTGAGAGCATTTACTCATCTTTACTGGACATGATTTGTTTTTTTGTGAGGAAAAAATGATCAAAATTTATGAATTGGTATTTCTTTAAACTATCAGTATCTTTGCTGTATTTTGTTTCTTCTTCCTAGTGGTTGTTTGTTGACATGGTAGAATTAAATACACTTCATCATTGGGAAATGATCACAGCCAAATGATTTGGAGCGATAATTTTTATATTGCTTGTTATTAAATTCAATGATAGAGTAAGGATTCCAGCTTGCTCCATACGCAAGCTCCATACGCAAGCAAGCTAATGCATTTCCCTGCGTAAAACAAAAGCAGAAATACTCATTTGCCGAGCAGAAAACAATAAAGTGCAGTCACAAGTAACATGCCTACCTTCAGTTGGTTACAGAAATATTTGATCTATTGCATATTTGAAGCATTGGAGTGTGTGTGTGTTTACAACGCACAGCTCCTCATTTTAACAATCATCCTGAATGTGTCCTTTGTTGTTTGGCAACCTCAGTTAGGCAACCACATCGACGTCCTGACAAAGAAGTGGACCGCGATGGATTCTGGGATAGGCGCAGGCGTAGACTCGCTACTTGAGTACCTTGTCAAGGGAGGCTTGTTGCTAGGGAACACAGACTTGCTGGACAAGTTCTGGGGTAACTTTCATGCTTGCTTTGTGCACTTCTTTCCAAATTTAGATTCCCCAACAACTTGCAGACTGTCTTTCAAGTCATGTATCAGTACTTGATATGAACTGGGTGTCCAGCTTGCACGTTAAATCGCCCGACACTGTTTTTAACCAGCATGAAAAATATTATCAGGTTTTGAATCTGCCCTGAGTTGAAGTGCACCCCCAAGCGGCGGAAGAAAGACAGACAGAAGTAAGTTTTCCAAGCGGGGGGTTGCTCACATTCTGCGTGTACGCAAAGACTATACATTAAGGAATAAATTCGTAACGCGTACTCAAATGAGTACTTAAAAAAAACACGTCCTCTTTTGTTTCTCTCGGAGCAGATGGCATTTTTAACCAAAGTGCTTCACATTTGCAGCAGTGGAATTGACATCGAATAATGTCTGCTTTGCAGTCATTCAATCATGCAAAATGCCAGAAACTTGGAGCCTTTTTGTATTGTGAAGATTTTGCCATTGTGTCGTCTCTCCTTTATTTGTTTCAGAATACGAGAAGTTAATTAAACAGCTCATGAAAAGGGATGACTGGTACATGTGGGTCAACATGAAGAAAGGTCAGATCACCATGCCTGTATTCCAGTCACTGGAGGCATTTTGGCCTGGAGTACAGGTAAGAATCACATATTGTACACCAGTTGTAGACGGGCTACCAGCTAATGTAAATATGCAAATTGTCAGTACACTCTCCTAACTTAGAAAGAACACTCTTTGTTCTGATGGTGTCATTTGGAAGTGTAATACTTCTGCTACCTGTCAACATTGCTAGCCCTGGGGGGAGGCAACAGGAGCTTTCCCCCCCCCCTGAAAAACAAGGCCACTTTTTTGTTTTTGAAATACAAGGAAAGGATGATTTTTGTTTCTTTTTTTATTTCCCTCTCAAAGTGTTTAAAAATGCACCAATTTTAGATTTCTCACCCCAAGAAAGGCTGTAATAGGTTTTAAAATCCCACACTCTTCCTCCCCCCCCATAAAAATTTTGGAACCCCCAAAAATTAAATTCCAAATCTGCGCTTGCCTGCTAACAGTACCTTGTTTGGATGAGAGAAAGACGGGCCAAGTTTTTCTCCTGTCCATTGCTTGCCACTTGTACTTGAAGCGGGCAGACACACGAAATGCAAGCGTGCTCGTTCCTGCCACGACTGCAAGCAAGACACAGGGAATTTCTCTCAGAGCATTGTTTCTCTCTTCCCTTTAAGAGTCTACTGGGCCAAACTGACGAAGCCATAAAGACACTGCACAACTACCACCAGGTCTGGCGTCAGTTAGGCTTCACGCCGGAGTTCTATAACATTGTGACAAGCAAGGTCATCGACAAAAGAGAAGGTTACCCGTTGAGACCAGGTATTATCTATTTTGTGACGAGCCAACCAGTGCACATTTTTTTTTTCACAAAATGCATGCTGCTGCACAAGTTATCTTGCTTCATTTTTTTTTAGCCTATAAATTCCGGCGAGGCAGTGGCCCTAACATTGTTAAATTCACTCATGAAACTTACTGTTACATTTAGCAATATACTTTATGCAATCATGATGCGGTTGCATCAATTTCTACATTCAAATGGGGGGGAACAGATCAAATTCAAACATCGTCATTGAACCAAAAAGATATTTTTCAGAACACTAGCAATTAATGTAACAGAATCCAACATCTAGAACGGCACTTGCCCCAAACTGTCCTCACTATAGACACAGGAACATCGTAAATGTTAGACTGTGTAAAGTCATGAATGGACCCATACTGCTACTTTGCTCCGTTATTTCCCATCCTCTCCACATAGTTTTTTTCAAATTTTTTGGCACTTCCCTTGAAGCACAAACCCGCTTTCCTTCTCAAAACAGATCCTTGGTCCCTTGCCTTACTACATTCATTTGGAACACAATGAAATCTTCCCAAAGACTGATTTGAAAAATACTGTCACGGGTTCACCGTTGAAACAGGCAAATAAAAGGGCAGTCACACAGATCTGTACTTCACAGCTGGTTTAATTCCGGGCACAGATCCGAATGGTGCAAGGTCAGAACACAAACTCTCTATCTACAATCTAGCGTGGCTATTTATACAGGTTGGGCTTGCTTTTACAGAGAATTAAGAACAAAACATTCCATCATAACATGTACTAATAAGTCATATAAGGTAGAACAAAACAGCGTGCCGCGTAGCGAACATTAGTGTCTCACGCTCACCGCAAGAGGGTGCTAGCATAACCAAGCAAGCAAGTGCGCGCTGTTTACATGTGGTTTTGTTAGCGCGCATGCAGTGGTAACTCAGCTGTGCACTGTCAATGCACTCTGAAGTGGCGAAGACGCGAGCGAATAATTGCAGAGCGCGCTGTCAGGTAACAATACCTGAAATAACCAATAATCATTAACTAATAATCAATCAATAGTTCATGTTGAGTAATTTCACAACAATACTAAACAGTTTATGGTAATTTTCTTGCCTGACAGAGTTAATAGAAAGTGTGATGGTCCTGTACCAAGCCACGAAGGATCCCTACCTCCTGGAAGTAGGACGGGATATCCTAACATCGATAGAAACCAGTGCCTGGACACCTTGCGGATATGCCAGTGTAAGTTTGGTAACATTGCTCAACGACATCCATGAAGTTCTGCTTGCGGGGTATTTCAGTGCTGACAGGAAGGTCTGAGCTTGCACGGCTTTTATGGCTGTCACACATGAGCTTTAAATGATCACATGCATATCATTGCTCAAAGTATGGGGACATTCAGTCATTTGGTTTTGTATTCAAAATGTGCATCTTAGAACTCAATATCCTGTGTGCTTGGGTAGGACTTGAAACAAGATTAAAGAAATGAGAGGCAATGTAACATTGGATCCCCATCTGTATCGGCCATGTTGTTCAGGCTGGACCATAATAACAGAGCTTTAATAAAAGTTCTATATTTTAGATAAAAATCCAACTGCAGAGCCTGTTATTTTTTTCTTCCAAACCCTAGGTGAAAGATGTACGGAACCACAAACTTGACAATCGCATGGAGTCCTTCTTCCTCTCCGAAACGACAAAGTACCTGTATCTCCTTTTCGACCCGGACAATTTCATACACAACACCGGTGGCCGCGGGGACATCATCCAGACGCCCCACGGGGAGTGCGTCCTGAACTCCGGGGGCTACATCTTCAACACAGAGGCTCACCCGATCAGCACGGCGGCGCTGGACTGCTGCCAGCGAGGCAAGGAGCTGGCCGTCTTTGAGAACATGATGAAGAAGTTGGGAGGCAAACAGGAGAGGCTGGACTTTGTCCTGGATTACATCAACCAGGCCGGCCAGGACCAACGGGAGCTGGGTGGACTACCCCAGGGCTACAACTGCTCTGTCAAGCCGTTCAGTGCCAGGTGGTCCATGATGGGGGAGATGATGGAACCTTGACGGAGTGGCTAACATTGCAAACAACATGGGCCAAAGGGCTTGCTTCCATGATCATTGACTCCACAATTTGAACACAGCCTCAGTGCACCACTCAGGTATTAAATCATCACCATTTTCATGAACTAAAAAAACGTGCGTGCGAACACTTTATGAAAAGTGCGCAAAAATTTGGGCTTCGGAGATTGCCAGAGGCTTGTGCATGGACGCTGTGAACACTGATGCGCTGTGGAATACATGTACTTGCGGTTTTCACAAACTGACAAGCAAGCATGTGGAAGATATAACTTTCAGAGAAAGTTACAGTCCATGGAAACCCAAATTAAGCACTTGTGTACCGTCAAGGGTCAGTTCTTAATGTCAACAACAAAATATAAGAATATCTAGTGCATCAGTATTGTCAAGACCCCTGAGGGAGTCAATTCATAAGAGAGTGAGACCGATCAAATTACCAGCAAGGTGGAATCATCATCCTGCATCTCAATTTATGCAAAGTCTATTTGATTACTTCCCACCTGCTCACCCCGCACCTGCTTCCAATGTGGGGCATGTACACAATCTATAAATAAACTAGCAGTGTCTAAGTACTCAAGGTTTAGCCCTGACAACTGGACTAGGTGAAGAGATAGCAGAAATTAAAAATGCTGAACGAACTCGACCTGTCAAAAGCACTTCACATCCAAACACCCATTTCCAGCCTTTCACATTATGGTTCGAATGAGAAAAAAGACTTCGGAGATTGGATGAAATATAATCCTAAATCTTTACTTTCTCTCTGAAAATTGATAATTATGCTTTTATAATTAAATAATTCATTATTGCAATTTGCAAGTACTGAAAGATTGAAACTACGTGTATTTAAGTAACAGTTGAGTGAAACAAACACTATTCAATCTGACCACTGTAAGGTGGAATTTTTCAGAGAATCATGGATTTATGCTCGATCGATTGTGCATACTCATTATTTTAATTGTTTGGAATTAAATGTAGTTAGCTCAGCCTTGGACAATTTGAAGTTTCCTCTCAATTTCTAAGACATGCAACAATTCCACCTTCTTTGTGTACATACAGGCAACTATTTATTTTCAAGATGTTATTTTTAAAAGAAATTGAAAAATAAAGGCTATTCTTTCCTTGAAAATTACTGGATGAATATGTTCCTTTGTGTCAAATTTAGTGAGGCTGTGAATATGTAGGACGAAAACCCTAAAAAGCTTTTTATGTAACCAGTTACACTCCTTATTTTAAGGAGTGTGACTGGTACATAATTAAAACTGAATAAGTAAAATCTTTAAGACAAAATGTCTAAACTCAGCAAATCTTCCAGTAAGAGCAAGCGCAAGACCAACTGTCGACCATCACCGTCTCCATCCAGCTCCGAACTGCGGTCAGAAACCAGCTAAAAATACCTCCAGTGATGAGCACATGTAGTCATTACTCCTATCACTGGAACTAGACACCTTGAACCATCCACCAACGCAAACAAAGTCTCCCACTGCCTATTGGATGAACACTTTTAACAGGTGAAAGCCCTATCATGATGACATATTCACGTGGTACGGTGCACTCTTAATGATCGAGAATCTGCAAGAACTGTAAATTTCGTCACATTGAAAATGAAGTGAAGGAAAGTATGTCTCCCTGCAGGGGCGTAATGGAAGCACAAAATATATACACTGTACATGTGTAAATGTTAATGATGAAGTCTTCGTGTTTAATGTGTGTCTCTAACTACGGCAATACACATCAGATTACATCTAAATAAAGAAAAGCTTACCTCTAAAATAAAGAAAAGCAGAAAAGCTTTAGTTCCGCTCTGTAAACAGGCCGACCTCTTCGGTTAGTTTGTTGCTCTTGTGAGCGTAAAAGGGGACGAGGAACTTGGGAATGCAGAAGCCGATAGGGCCGTTGAGGACAACACAGTGGGAACAATAGCGCAGAAAGAGGACCGCTGAAACACCTGTCAACCATTCTGAGTCTTTGTAACGTGCAGCTTGGAAGGGGAGGTTCAGCCCACATAGTTGAATGGAAGTTGTCTAACTGCATGAACATTAAGTACCTCACGTTTGACTCGTATACGACCATGAAAGCCTGAGCACAAAGTATCACAAAGGATATTTCAATATCATAAACAGGTAAATGTATCTCAATGAGAAAAGGAACCATGACCACACAAAATGAACTTGAATAATGGCCTCTAAAAGGCTTCGACAAAAGTATGGAAGCATAAAACAATTAAAATATTCAAATGAACTGAATATGAAAATATATTTAAGGATCGGTCAAACTGTAGAATCAGTATTATGTACAACCATATACCAGAGAAGAGAAAGACAGGAAAAGTTAATCTCACTACATCGAAAGTGAGTTTAAGCTTTCGAAAAGCTGGGCCTATGGGACAAATAGTCTTTCCTGTCGTTAGAAATGCCTTCGGAGAAAACTAGCCGACACACAGACGTTACTTGTCGCGTAACAAACCGACTTAAACAATTTCAAACAGACACGGTCTCATCAGAGTGTTTGTCGAGCGTCGACAGAGGCATGTAGTTGGTAAGATGGGTAGCGGTGGTGGTGGCATCCGGGTCACTCTTGCTGAACAGATGAAATCCCTGGCCCTCTGCAAGAAAGGGTTGTAACCGAACAGAATATATTCAGGGGATTTCATTTCACTTGTTACGGAACATTATCGTACACGGAAATGAAGAACATCTACCGATATTAAGAAAAACAAAACACGTCCACGTTCTTGGGACAACTTCCAAATTCTAAATAAAACTTTAAAAATCGGCAAGAATTTCAAATCCATTTCGCCGCTGGAATAAAGGGATGCAGTACAGGACGGATGATATACTGGCAATCGAAAGAAACGTTTAAGTTGATGGTGTTCAGATTTTGCTTTGTTGTGTTTCTTGTACATTATTCCCGAATACTGTCTAGTTCTATCTGTGCCATTTATTTGGCTTTGTTGCATTTGTTGTTTCTGCTTTTGTGCTGTGCGTTTTATTGTGCTGTTTATCGTCTGTTAATTAAGTTATTTTATTGCTGTGTGATGCTGTGTTGCCATGAAGCTAAGAGATTTTTGCCAGTTATGGCAATCAGCAATTGTCAGCGATTGTTCCCGCCCGAGCCTGGTGACGCGGAGCAGCAACTCATATCAGCAAATACATAGTTGAGACGTACTTCCAAACTCCTCCCCTTCTTCGATACTGTCCAGCAAGTCACAGCCCAAGGTTTCTGGCAGCATCAGCGACAGTGTCCCGGCCAGTAAGGAGCTGCCACCGAAGACACACAGAGGAAGCGGTTCCCAGTACTTGCCAAGGAGCAGAATGATGGGGCAGAGAATGCCGCTGATACGCCCCACCATGGAAGACATACCCATGCCGATACTCCTGCAAATAAGGAACCACAGCATCAGCCCTTTCAATATCCAAGACATCAGTAGTGCGGTTGGTAATTACATGATTACATTCCTTTACTTACACCACAATTTCTCGGGTTCAAATCCTGGTATAAAGGCACTGTTTTGTTTGTATAAGAACCCGCGTCTTCATCCTTCTAAACGTCTTTTCCCTAAATTGCTTCTCTCTCTACCGTTAGTGTGGGACGAAGCTTCATGAGTCATTAAGCTACTATCTTTCGATTGAATTATAGCAAAACTAGCTTCCCGAGGTTATCCACAGAGCATTCTGTTTTCCGGAGACAGCCTGTACTCTTTCGAATAGGTTAGATTTACTTCATCACAAAAAGAAACAATTTTATAACACTTCCCAAGAAACTCTGCTTGATTCAAGCATTAAATGCTTCATTGATCTAAACGCACTACAAGGCAGACCTGTGTCTATTCGAAGGATAGATGTGTTGAAAATGTTCAGGCACTTTTCCAAACTAGGTTCATCAGGAAAACGTTAGTAAACTCAACTCTGTACAGAGCAAGCACTTTTAAATGCACGCAAAGCACAGATCACCAGTGTATTTGCAATGAATGCTAGTGGTCGTGTGCACTAGGTATTGGTACTGTACAGCTACATGCACAGTATTGTGGTTACTGCGGGTATAGTTCTTTTGGCCGTGAAAAGAAAGATAACAAAATTAGCGAATGCCACATGACCATCTCTCTGTCAATCAAGACAGAATATGTGGGTGAGGCGTTAATTAAAAGTAGCAATATCTAGACAAATTAAAACAGATTTCACCCTAAAACTTTACTCTAATGTCAAGTAGTTCGAAAACTGCAGTGAGAAGATCAAGAGCGTTCAAACCTGACAACCGTAGGATAAATTTCACATGAATATGTGTAGATGTGGCTGAAAGCCCCGCTAACAGCAAACTTCCCTGCCATGGCTACTGCCACCCGTGCTGGACCCAAAGCTGTCAGAACATACCATGGAAGCAAAACAAAAAATCCAATGACATAATTTGAAAGTTGCAAACAATGAGGAATAATCTTTAAAGCTAAAGATCTTAAATTGCTTTGCAAGTACTATGTACGAGGACAAGTTTAAGATAATGTCTCAATGGGCCTTGAGCGGGACCAAGAGAGGGCACTTTTTCCTCAGCAATGGGCCGGAAGTTCCTTTAACGCTAACTGTGCATCACTGGTTCACGAACGACCAAAAAAGCGCAAGCGTTGCAGTCGCATCGCTAAAATGACTACTCCCGACCAACGTGGCTTTTTTCAAACGATGAGGGGGTTCTTTTGCTCGAGGCGGAGAGATACTGCTTGATACATGTCATTCAAGTTCAAACGTTCGACAACCTCAATATGATGGGTTTGTCATACTCGTAGGTCTTTCTTATTTATGCAAATTTTATTCACGGCAACTGAAAACGCGGCTGCAGGGGACTCGCGTGTCACGATGGCTATAAACGGAAGGGATCTTTCCGTGGTTCCCAAGATAACCTTCGGGTTTGTGGAGGATTACGTCAAAAACGGCCCCAAAAGTAGTGGAGAGCAACAGCTTGGTAAAGGCTTCAAGTATTTTTCAGAAGCCTACATTCCTTATAATTATCTGAAGGGTAATCGTTTTATTAACAGGATTTTATCTAGGACATTTTGTTGAAGTTTCATGCATGCACCATTTATGTCTAGGCCTAAACGACCGGTTGTGGCCACGATCGAGCAGTTTGAACACTTTCTGTCATTTAGCAGGTTACCTTTAATGACAGGGCTATTTCCTTTAGAAGTTCAGAATTTTATAGATGGTAATTCGAAAATTGCAGACGTTATTTCATTAATGCTGGGCGGGATCAATCATGGAGGAAGGAAAAGACTGGCTCAATAGAACTGCACCAAAGTGCAATAACGTGTACGGTGTAGGGCCAGTCATTACGATTTTTTATATGAACTTCTCAATTAAAGTGCCCAAAGAAGTCGTTTCAAAGTCTAAATCTACCTTGAACAGTGGTCCCTCGTCTTGTTTGATCTTAACAATCCACTGTTTCCGCAGGACCTTATTTTTTGGAAATCGATGGAAGCTAATTTCTGGCGATGATCTTCCTTCGTGATTGCCATACAACACGGTACTGAACAATGCTTTGCCATGTTCGCCGACAGCGAGGAGTCCCCTACAGCCTCGCTTTCAGTTCCCGTGCATAAAATTTGCATAAATACTAAGAAAGGCTTATAGCTTCCGCAACCCACATAACCACTTGTAGGCTAAGTACATGTACCAATAGCCTAAGATAACGAGCACGCACTGAAACTCACGAATGAAAATGCTGATGAAACAGAATACTCCTGCAGAAATGTAGAATCCGACCAATGAGAGACGCCTGCCGATTCGCTCCATTATGAACCAACAGAAAAGGTAGCTTGGAATCTCAACAGCTCCGGACACGAAGGCAGCGATGTAGTCGTCGACACCAAGGGCTGAAGTACTCAGAGACAGCCCGTAAAACACCATGACGGCAGCAAACCTACATAAAGATTTGAAATCACCTTGTTCAGTTCAGTTCAGTTCCGGCATGGTCCTGATGGCTAACAAACAAGATCAGCCTGAGAAAATCGACACATCTTTGCAATCCCTTCTTTGCAGAGCTTCGTTTTTTGTTTTTTCATCAGGTTTTTGTAGTTTTATTTAAAAATAAACTACTCGTCTTACCAATCAAGAAAAATTATCAACGTTTTCTTCCGGAGGTTGGGGGTTCGGAAGAGATCCAAGTGTGTCACTCGCCGTACCGTATCAGACCGAATCTCCTGCCATTGAAGGAAATACATGCGTGATTATTCAAATCCCGATAAAATAATGTTAGAATGGCCTGCCGTATAATGTAGTACCCAGTTAATGAAAGTGACTGACAAGTTCCTTATTGTTCAAATATTTATGCTACGTAAACAGCACTAAGGCTTGACTCTATTCGACGTCCAAATCGAGGACTTTACTTCGTGGAAAATCATATCGCTATAGATTGAATAAGCGCTATGGAAAATATTGGTCGTCTAGCCCATGATCACAATTAATTCGCCGTCTACTTTGTACCTTTTTCTGTTCGTCGGCATTTTCTGGACTACTATTGATCAAGTCCTCAGGAACCGTTGTGCCGTTGACTTTGGCAATTTTACGGATGATCTTCGTAGCTTCCTTGAACTTGCCTTTTGATATCAGCCAACGCGGTGACTCAGGAAAGATTCTGCCGACAAGAGCGGGAAAATGGTTCAATTCTCTTGGAAAATAATATAAAGCATCATTTCCAGACTCTCAGAAATGATGCTCATGGAAAATGCGTTCCTTACTCAATATAGGTTAAGGTTGATGATGTGAGGATTTTTCTTTAAAACTCGGGTTGAACGGTCGCACGTGAGTTACATATATACAGTTCATGCTTCATGCTGACGCATGCGTGAATGTATTGACCGGAAATGACAAATAAGATTTCAGTACTGTGTACATTTAAATCAGAAACCTAAACTTACACGTATATGTAAACTGTTCCCAGATTCCAATCCATGTTCTTTGGGAATCAGAACGTACAGGAATTACAGGGATGTGGATTTCGGTAATGGCAGCATTGTGCCATAGATGATTTTTTTTTTAATCTCATTTTCCACCGGTGTCAACTGCGTATCCACTTCCCAGTCGAGTTTTCAATATGCCCGTAGAACTGGCAGTACTGATCAATGTCAACATCTCCCAGTTATCCTCTGAATGTTGCACGTTAAATAGCAATAAACAAGGTATCCCCCATTCTTTCTTTGGATTACTTCATTGTAAAATTATGAAACTCGGGCCATTAAAAACGCATAGGGTTAACCCCTCCTTAACAAGTCCTAACATTGTTCCATGCTATATGTGTGCTGTGTGCATTAATTTAACTCAACTTTTAATTAACGGATTTAATTAAAGGATTTCATGATGGAGCATGTGTTTCGATTCATTTGACTCCAGTCTTCATTTCCACTTCAGTGTACTCACGGGATCAGCAGGAACGCAACGACGTAAGGAAGTGATATTGCCAACTGTAAATGGCGCCATTCTCGTAAGAAGAAAGCCGCAAAGGATAGAAGCATATACCCCACCGCGAAGGCAATCGAGTGCATGGCACCAACCAAAACTCGTTTCCAGGGCCCAACTAACTCTTTTGCTGTTGACAAAACCAGTGAAAACAACACAGCGTAACAAGTGACTGAACAAACAGGTGCACGTTTTACCTGCAGCAAACTATAGGTGTCGTCTAACTAAGTGAAGAGGTCTGTTTCTATACGTTAGAGCGCCGAATTATAAGTCGCATTACCTCTACTTAGGCCATTATAGAAAGGTTACACATATTCTCTATCAAAAGAAAATAAGTATTTTTACCAGCCTAACGATTTCGTGGGGCTATAGCTGCATGTCATGGACAAGAGCATGAAGCATGGAAAGTTTGTGCCAATCTCGCTTAAAATAACTAAAAACAGCTGTTGAGTATGGCGGCCGGACAATCTATGCAAAAGTGTCCGCGAAGTTACACCTGGCGTAAGGCTGGAACTTAACTTCCGTTTAAATAACATTAAAGGTAAGAGTACGTCACCCACAAGCAATCGACGCGATCAAGCTGACACCATAGCCACAAGCTGCCGTGATGAACCGCGCAGCCATGTAAGCCGAAAAGGTGGGTACAAAACTCGTCAAAATGGATGAAATGGAGACGAGAGAAAGACTTAGGAAGAACGCTGCCTTTCGGCCAAGCCTGAAAAAAGAAGTACAAGTAGACCAAAGTAGGCGAAATGTCCACTGTCAAATGGGGGTAAAAGAACACAAAACATAGGTCAGGACAACGTCTCTCTCGCTTAGTACCATGTTAATTGGCCCATTTCTACATATATCTATTATGCAGTCTCAATTGTCAACAACAAAATAGTACATTAAACTAGAGTACCAGTTTGGCTTCATGAGCTGGTGTTGTCACCTAGAAGGCAAAGTACGCGAAAATGAAGTTTTGGACGCCATAATATTTAAATTCATTGGCAGAACGACATCATCACGCAGCGTCCTTCAGCCTAATTTTCAAGTGGTCGTAGCGAACGCCGACGGCACGAGAGACGTCAAGGCGCATGACAGTAGCGGGAGAGACATGACGTCATTCTATTGAAAAAGTACACATTTTTATCGAAAAAAAAATGCCTTTTCAGTTGACAATATCGCCTCAGTCAAACTGATACTCTACTTTGATGTATTTATTTATGGTTAGCTATTCTGTTTGCAACTTTTACTATTAATAAGGAGGGGCAGGAACGTTGTTGTATACGCACGTCCATCATGCGTGTTTGTGTGGTAAGCCTGACTTTCAATGTCCAAATTCGTCAAAATTTAGAAAGTTAGGTGTTGCCTCAGCCTGCGGCAACACATTCGGTCAGTATGATTTCTGAAGCACCCAAAAATTGGATTGAATTTTCCGAACTCGACCCAAGAAATCACACTGGACACGCACTGACGCGCTAGCGACACGACGATGTCTTCTCAAACGTACGTCGCAGATATGCAAATTTTCTGTGTTAATGAGATACCTCTCGGGACGGGGCATTTTCCCCAAAATCTTTCACATTTTTCCCTTCCATTTATAAAAAAAAACAAGAACTTCCATCGTCTGGATATCGTTTGAAAATGTACAATTTTCAATTGTAACTAATAAAACGACAATTTCATGGACCCTTTGAATTTCCCAACAAGCATGCTGTAAACCATAATTGTTTCGAATCAAGTCTAAGAAGCTCACCAGTCAGCGACCGATCCCCACACTAAAGAGCCCACAAGTGTACCAGCGAACCACACAGATTGAGCAATATCAGCGAAATCTTCCCGCTCACAAACTAGACTGAACTGTTAATTAAAAAAAGAAAAGGGATGCAATGAACAATACATAAATATGCCAAAACAAAGCAAACGTAAACAAAACCCCAGAACAAAAAGTTAATATTTGTAGCCGTACACCTTGCGATCAGTTTGTGAAGTGTTATTATTGCATACGTTGTTAGGAATATGAAACAGTGGAGATCGTGTGCTGGGCAGTGATGGGTTGAGCATTCCGAATTGATTTTACTTTCCAGTGGAGTGTGTTCTTATCTAGCACTCCATGGGAAACGGAATCAGAGATTGTAAACGGGATTAAGTTATGCTGTTGGTGCCAGAACTGATTAACTTAAACCTTACATTGGTCAAACAAAGAATTTTATAATGTACCAGAAAAAAAGCGAATTACATATGCTCGCATTTGCTCATCCTAATTTTATATCAGGCAAATCGTCCTTATATGAATTGAATTGAATTGGTTTATTACAATAAAACGTCATCACGGCCTATGGTCGAATTGAAAGTGTTTGTACAATGTAAATAGTAGTTTGAGGATGCCAGACAAATAAGGCATAGGACTGTTACGAAATCGATTCGGTCTACACTAGAAGCTTTCTCTTTTTATCTCTTTTGATTTTTTTTTTTACTTTTTCTTTTGCTTCTTTTCATATAAAACGCCAAATAAATGTCGGAATTTACAATAACATACCTCGTCGTTGATTGTGGACTTGTAGCGCGATCGATCAAAATCCCACCCAGCATCACAGGCGATGACATCCGTGGAATTCCAACCTTGATCGCCATCGTCCTCAGCAGTCGCGTACCGCTCACACGAGGAGTAAACTCGCTTCCCGTCGTCGTCCAGCTCATACGGTATGCTCTCGTTCTTCTGTTCCTCCTGACAGGCGGACACAGACTTCAGCTGAAGTTGAGTGCAGTTGATAGCCTCGCTTGCCGGAATCAAGCACCAATGATCGGTGTTGGCGGCCAGAAACACTTGAGCTAGGAACTGACACGCCGATGGACCTTGCATCAGGCATAGAGCCAGGACAACGAGCTTTTGGTACTTGCCGAAGTGCCCAACGTGATCCAAGATACCATCGTAATGCATTTTGATAGTCGCTATTTCTAGTGCTGTGAATATGAAAAAAACGCACAGTGACAGTCGATGATATCAAACTGGCTTTGCGTTGGGTTTGGTAATTTTATGCTAGGATATTTCGCCCTATACTCTCACTTGTATATTCACTCTTTTCTCAGTCTAAACGCAGACACACACTTAAAAGTGAACAGAAGTGAAAGAGATACACGTACTTTGACATCACATGGCTGCACCAATTAGCCAACCTTGATTTAACGTCATTGTGCCTCATGATTCATAACAGTTTATATACCATACACTGCAAAGTATTTCGTGTTTTAAATGACCCAAAGGATTATGTACTTTTTATTCCGCACACGTCTAACCGTTGGTATAAAACGGGTGTCCCAAACCCAGTGCTAACAACTATACTTACGTGTATTTAACCAACGTACCAGTAAGCCAAAAATGTACTTCAAATTGGCTGATATTGTGTCACCAACCAATAGTCTATCACAAATCGGCCAGTAGAGTAGAAGAATTTCTGACAACACTTTGACCCGATAAGATATCACCTGTCGACGGGTAATTTATCTACCGACAACTAGTCAAAAAATGACCGATGATGGATCAGTCTGGGAAAAGGGAAACTTTGGAGGAGAATTGTTTGTGTAATTTCAGCACGTGACCAACTGTCTCAAACTGTCTCCAAACGAGAGATGAGTGATAAATAAGGCTCTTGAAGTTTGTTCCAGAACATTTTGGGGCTCAATCAAGCTGAAAGCTCTATTGTTTGTTCCTTTTCAAATAATCTTTTTCTTTCTCTTCATAACGACCCTTGAAGGAATGTGATATCCTGTAACGAACAAATTTTCTTGCTTGTATCTGCTTGCCTTTATGCAGCTTTAAGGTTGCTTCTAATGTTGCACTCATGACAAGAAAAAGTCCAAAAGGTTTCTTAACAAATCGTTATAAATCAAGTGACACGCAGTTACGATTAAATGTCTTTTGACTTGTCCAATGGGAGACTTTGAGACGCTGGTGGCAGCAGACACACCGATTTTGTTTATAATACTGATCAGAACCACGCACGCATGTTCGTGACAACGTGCGCATGCTCAAAAATGGCAACAAGGACCGGCATGTTGGCCGCCACCAAGCGTCTCAATGTCACATATTAAAGTCACACAACGCAATGAGCGACTGGCCACATCCTGAATGGAGATTCAATACTGAAGAAAGCGTGTGTACACTGGATTTGGGGTGTGGAGATTATTATTTGCAAACTTCAGTGTCACAAGCGCATCCGAATCATGTCCATGTTTTGATATCTAAATTTTAACTTTTGGATCATTTACGTAGGCCAATTTTCTTTTATTGCTAACTTATTGCAAAGCCCATTTCTAGAAACAAATTAATTCAACTTAGTCATCTATTTTTCACAATGCCACACCCAAAATGCACGAGCATTAAAGATTTAAAAGGAGACATGAAATGCAATTTTTATGACCAACTTTCTTGCAGTGTTACAATGACTGTCCACCTCACAGTGATGTAGTGCCTAGATGCTGAGCCTTGGCTGCCTAAAGACTTGATTTTAGTGCCTTAAGTGCAAAGCCTAAGCCTTGAGGGATCAATGCCTTGTGATTCAAGAGCCTTGCTTCGTCAAGGCCCTCGGATTTTTTTAATTTTTCAGGTAAATTTTTTTGAAATTTTGTTTTCTACGAACATAGATGTACGCCTGAGGGTCAGCTTTGAGCAGTCTACAAAGCTGCAGTATTTACGATAATCATATACTGCCATGGAGAAGGGAAACACCCTGCATTTTGTTCACTTGTACATTTGGAGTATGAACATTTTGCTACGTTCCCAAAACAAATCTATGGTCATTTTACATATTTTGAATTATAACCGTACTTGTAGCCACAAGGCCAGGGAGATTATTTTTAGCTTCCAAAAATTATATGGAATACATATACATCTATATGTAGATAGAACATCTGTGTTGCAGACTGCAACTTTGATCGCCCTTTAAGTATGCTGCCTCACGCAGGAAATGGTAGCCTATCTTGCATACCTATGGCCACAAGGCCAGGGAGACTATTTTTAGTTTCCATAAAATTATATACATGTACATGTAGATAGAACATCTGTGTGGAAGACTGCAAATCGCCCTTTAAGTATACTGACTCACGCAGGAAATGGTATTTTGCTTATTACACTTGTTGGTCAAATTATGAGTTTCTTTCTATGGTCTGATCTTGCACACGTCATACAGAATTCATTTGACTTGTCACCAGAGAGTTGTTGACTCCATATCTGTAATAAATACGTTATAAGTTGTATATAGCATGTCCCCCCCCTCCAAAAAAATGCAACTCAAATGTAACATTCATTCTCCCAAAGTATTAATGGTAACCAATCAAAACTTACCGTGTTTTCTTTTTATGCTGAGAATTTCATTTGAAACCCATGCTACAGTGCAGATGTTTTCAGTTTAATACGTAGCACAGAACTCTACTCAGCTCAGTATCTGGATTCTGTGGGCCATTTTCAATGGTTTCGTGTTAGTGTTAAATGGAGTTTTAAGAAGCACAGCTGCGTGATTGTTGCGTGTTTTGTACGATCTCCAGAATGCACTTTGTGCACGACCTCCGACCGTGAGGTTCAGCACTTCGTGTTTGCGAAGCTTTAATCGAAGTTTATGGTCAGCTAATGGCAATACTTTGACACGGGCCAAAGTGTCGGCTTAAATGATAAAAACATGGCCTTGATACAATCACAGTGATTTATCTTCTAAGTATCACGGATCACGTGTGTTTTGGCGATATATTTCAAATCACTGGTTATCTTGATCAATTTTGGATGAACTAATAAGGTGTAGAGAGAATATTTTCAGCAAAGAGGAAGACAGAGAAAAAATCGAATGGATAACCGCCACATAGAGCGAGCTCGCGCACCTGCCAGAAATTTGCCCACAATGCTTTGCGCGTCGTTAGCTGTGACCCCTTGTGACTTATTTCCTTCACTTAAATCTGCGCAAGGCCATCAGCCCTTGCCAGCGCCCTGTTTGGGCGCTGGGCGACGAGTAAAGCAGTATTGATATTATACTTAAGGATCTTGGCCTTAGCCGAGAGGGTTAAGCCTATAAGGCTTGAGAGTCCATGACTTGGCCTTGGCCTTGAGGATCAGAGCCTTTGCTCCAACACTAACACCTGCTTTTGCTCCAGCGCCACCACATGCTTAGTAATAGAAATCCAAGAGAGAAACTTAAATATTTAGGTTTTTTATGCAAAGGTAATTTCCATGTTCAATATTGAAAGCAAGACGCCATATAAAGCTGAACAATAGTGTCTCCATGATAGCTCTATATAGATGTGTTTCTCGCTTTTCCATATTTTTCTTGAAAAAACTCCAACTTGCTACTTTATAGAGTTGATCAGATTGTTTTTAAAAAGAATATTTGGCCCGTTTGCTTAGTGTGTGAAAGATATTTTTCTGTACTTTGTGTATCCTCTCTTGACAAGGAGCGCCTTGTGTGACCCAAAAAAATATATATAGGCCTGTATTTATACCGGCTATATTGACACCAATAATGCTTCAGAGGCACCATAAACACAAAACAAGACCCGGCGCATAGGGTGCACCTACAACGTCCTTCACCCCTATATCTTATTGTTGACATCTATTGTGGGAATTATATTCCGCGCTTGTGCACGATGTAATAGGCTACAGTTAAGGAATTCTTCATTTTACATCGGCAGGTTGACTGTATTGGCCACCGGACAAAACCCCAGACAATAAATAGACCAAACCATTGTTCGGGGCTCTCCTTACTGACACTTCGGCTTTGTCCCGATACTCAACTCAGACTTGTGTAATTTTGTGGTGATATAGGCACGTGTAGTCTCGAATTATTAAAATAGATAGATTAAATTAGCCTATAGGTGCCTCGAAAACAGCGTTCGGATTCATGGGTAAGCCTAACAAATGAAAGAATAAAAACAAAAACCTAAGCCCTTGCTATTATACAACGCAGATGATTAACTCAAGTATACATACGTACATCCAAAAGTTGTGAATATGTTCGAAATAGATTTCTGCGGAGTTAACAATATTTCTGGTCATGGTGGCTTGTTTCTATGTGTGACATATGTTCACAGTGTATGTACAATTATGTTACACCATATGCCGAAATATTAATGTGAAATGTTAACCTATGTTAGCCTGTAGGTGCCTCGAAAACAGCGTTTAGATCATGGGTAGGCCTAACGAATGAATAAAAACAAGATTTCAAGCCCCCCTGCTATAATAAACCGCAGATGAATAACTCAGGGAGGTATTCACGGAATACATAATGTACATCCAAAAATTGTGAATATATTCGAAATACATTCCTGCAGAGTTAACATTATTTCTGGTCATGGTGGCTTGTGCCCAAAATATATGACGTGACAGCAGATGATACCGAGCCAAACCCCACTACTAAAACAGAATAGACAGAGGTGTATTTAAAAACTAAATCTAAGCTGTGGCTCACCTCAGGTGCGTGCGCTGCCTGCCGACGCAGGACTCCACTGATTTTGACATGATAACAGTGAACAGAAGTAGGCCGGTAGTAGATGGATGGCATAAATGAAATGGAAGCCGCTTTAAACTCCACGAACCGAGACGAAATTATATAATGTAGACTATGGCACGCAAAACGTTGCAAAATTTAATGTTTCATTTCTATGTGTGAGATATGTTTACAGTGTGTGTACAATTATGTCACACTATATGGCCAAATATTAATGTGAAATGTTCAGTATGTGCGATTCCCTACAATGTGCGACGTTATTATGAGCAATGTTTAATTGAGTGCGCGTGGCTTCTTCAGCAAGCGACACTTAAGCCTGGCTTCCACATGGTCGTTTGTAACACAGACGGTCTGCAAGACGTCAAGACGGAGACAATCGCGGAAGAAACGCTGCACAACACTCGTGGACAGGGGGTGCGCACGCATTACATGCCTCTTCGACCAATAGGTTAATGTCATGATTTGCCGAATGCACGCATGCGTCAAGCTGAGGAATGTGCGTGTGAGTACCCGCGGTTTTCATAGGGCGTCTAATCGGATCAGTCTCTATGCGAAAGTGAAATGAATTTGACGTCACGACAAATTTGCAGCGAGAATTTCGCTCGAGTTCTCGTGTGTTCAACTTTACGGATTCATAACGAAAATATTTGATCTGACGTCACAAATGCACGTTCGGTTTTGCGTGAAGCTATGAACCGGCCTTTATTCAAGGCGTGACGGCACGAAGTTTCCCGACATTGTGCCGTCGTGTGTATACACGATCGCGTCGTGTCGCGTTGGGCGTCGCATGACGCAACGCGCAACGCGACTGTCAAGGGAAGGAACGACGTTTAGGCAGCAAACTATGCTAAAACAAAAAATAATAATAATTGAAGATAGTGCCAGCAGTTGAGGCTGCTAACCACCAAGATCATCCTGCCTGCCTAATTAAATGTCATTTGTTTCTGTTTGACTGTACAAATCATTTTATATTGAGACCTCAGTAAATTAAACACTATCCAAATCAGCTAGTCGTGTCGTCGTCTTAATGCAACTGGGGCCCACTGCTTCAACGCTTTCGAATTATGCTCTCTACGTGCTACGTGTGTTGGCCTCGTGTGCCGTGGCCTATCCATCTCTTGGAAAATCCTGGATTTGTCATTAACGTCATTAATATTTCGTTGAAACTGACTAAGTACTTCAAAGAAATGAAGTGAGACCGACATATAATGGCCTACACGAATAAAACTACTGCGCTGTCGATTGTGAAGTTGGTAGATCCGGGTATCATTTACAATCGTTTCGCCCACGTACAAAATGGTGGACGGGTTATACGGGCCAACACCTCCGCGTACAGTGTGCACAATGTAGACTAAAGGCGCCTTCCGTATGTACGTTCTTTGGCTGCGTTGCGTATACGATGCGCTCACTTTCAGGATACAAAAAAGTAAACCATTAGCGTAACACGCGTGCGTTGCGTATTTTGACAGGTTGACGCGCATTTGGAAATGTGCCTTTCCCCTAGAGCGATTTTGACGGCCGAGCGCAACCACAGTAATGGCTTCTAATTGTGGTTGTTGTTAGTACGCGTCAACTCTTAATTCACTAGATAGGCACGTCTCAACCTCACGGCACTACAGGACAGACCCTTGTTGGTTTGATACCAGAATGAATTTGATTGTATTTGACCCTCCAAAGGTAGAATGATTCTTTTAAGAGGTGGCAGTTCACTTTCCTGGTTACATAAGGGGACACCACCAACGTACCTCTGGGATTGAAGAACACACGTATCGCAGTCAAGCAAACTGAACGTACTGTGCACTGCACAAACAACAGACAGTAACGCACATACCAATGAAGGTGAAAGATTTTTATTATGTTCTGATACTAAAATGAATAAGTCCAAGAACGTGTCTTTTACAAAGGTACATCTTCCACAGGCTTAGACCACACTCATAATTATTGTTCATGATTTTCACTAACGTTCGTGTGGACGGTTTTGGACCGACGTGTTTAATCCTTCGTCCACGATCGGAGTCAGTCACACATAGACGTGCGGTAGTGCACGTCGCAAAGCCGTGACTGCGGTGACGGCAGTCACTTTGCTTCGCAACGAAGTGCTCTTAATTCGACAAATCCACAGCGTTACATTGTTGAGGGAAGAGACACAAAGCTGTGGTAAATTTTCCCAACCTTTGAAAAAAAAAGAACTTCTGTGAGCATCTTCGGTCAGTAGATCCCGCTGTGGCATTATCTAGGCACTCGGGAACGTCCTATGGTTTATGGACTTTCGCAAGATAAATTACATGAGTTTTGGGTGTCAAAAACGAGCAGTGTTTTCTTGATTTTTTCAAACCGATGAACTAAAACGAAACAAGCCCATTAAATGATACACAAATAAATGAACAAGAAGTCGGTAAATTTTTGAAAAATAACGACAACTGCAAATGGTGTTCGCCTATATACCACCTTAAACAACACAACTGCATCAGAACTCTCGTGAAAAATCATTAAAATTAATTAAAATCAATGTGGGGTGACCATATGACATGTATGGTTGCTTGGATGGGTGATACACAGTGCCGGTAACCAATTCCAAACAAAACTTTACTTCAAAAGATACAATTTTTTTCTACCAAAAGTTTAAGATTAAAGGTTAAGTTTTAAAATTTTAACATAAACCCCGTCACCAAACCCAAACCCCATCCGTGGCGTGGGGGGGGGGACTTGCCCTTCCTGTCTATTAAGGCATTTCCCTGTTTAATAAGAACCAATACGCAGTAGTGTAGCAAATATCTACAGGTTCTGATTCTTGAATGGCCGAGAGATAGTTATTTGACAGTCACTGTTTTTGCTATGTGAATCAATGTAGTATACCCGTCGAATATGCATGCATACTAGTATGGGCGCTGCGCATATTCCAAAGTACTAGCACTATCCGGTTCGTGACTTCGTCACAAAGGCTGCCATTGGACGATCGCTAAAGTTGTGCGTTAACTTCCGGTTCCATTACTCCATGGAAACGGTGATAAATGCACGTAACTCTATGTACAGACCATGTGCAGTGGGCGTGGTTTAAACTGAAGTGATGTCACACTTACGAACCGGATGCACAGCGCTGGGAACAAACATGGTCGTGAAGAGGTAGTCTGGAAAAGTGCTGGTAAATTTTAAACATATATACCTCGTTCAAATAGACGTACCTTTTATATATATTTCATATAGATAAATCAGTTATCGCTATCAAGCAGAATCTGTGGGAGAGGTGTTTTTGCTTTAGAAAAACAGAATGTTCCGTGGATCAGAGAAATATAGAAGGGCTGCGTAGCACCTTGATCAGAATATCGACAAGAATATAATATCAAATCAGTGCTCTGAAATATGTGATTGCCGAGCTTTCGGTAACTGAGTACCTTCTTCAGGGCAAGCAGATCAGAACTGAATCTGCTTGCCATGAAGAAGGTACTCAGTTGCCGAAAGCTCGGCAATCACACATTTCGTAGCACTGATTTGATATTATATTCTTGTCGATGTGCTCGGTGGATCACCTTGGGATGACGACTTCATATTTTTCCTGTGATGTCCCAATCGTGCTGGACTGCGATGTGTTGTGATGGTAATGAGTGGGTATGTTGTGATGGTAATCTACTTATTCAAAATAAACTAGTTAAGCATGCAGCGTTCGCGCGTGCGCTTGCACGTGGTTGAAGCTGTCCGTAGGATTATGCGATCACCGTGGCCAAGGCGGTCCCCATGTGGCGGTATTGTTTACATTTAGCGCAATCCAGTCACGTGGGTTAAAAAGGTCTGTACTATTTTCAAGGATGAATTTGCGCCGGATTTTTTTTGGCCCTACCCGATGTGTAATATAACACTGTATATTCAGTATTTACCCCGAAGACTTGTGAAGAAAAACCGAAAGCGTACTTGGGTGGGACCTGGGCCCACGACTTCCTGCTTACTAGTGTAGACCACGGACGAATAAAAGCATACGCAGCAAGGTATGAGACGGAGAGAACCCCCCTGCTTTGTGTTGGTCATTGTCTCGCAGGAATCTGGGGAATTCCTTTCAGACATCTTGGGGTGGGTGTATTATGTAACAATAGTCTGGAATGTGTATAGGGATTAGACATGTTGGGGGTACCCCTCGGTCTCATTTCTTGCTGGGTATATATAAAAGAAAGTCTGGACTCGCAATGCCCTTAATCAGCTTGTAGAAATCACTGAATCCACTAGCAGCCATTTTACAGAGCCAAATACGAAGCTTGCCTGGCAATGCCCGCCTTTGTTCTCTCTGGCGTCCATAGAAGCGAGCCAACCCGCGCATCTGTATTCGGCTCGATAAAATGGCGGCTGGTTGGCTTCTATTTCATACAAAGGCATTGCACGTCCAGTTTTTTTTATATACGTCCGCGGTGCAGACGTCTTACACGCTCAACCACCGAGCTTGCCGGTGTCGACTTGCTGGTTCGAGTCAGATGTAGCAGCAGGTACCGCAAACAACTATTATAATATTATAATACACGTCGGGCAGGGCTAAAAAAAATTACAAAATTAATTATACAGTATACACCATGAAATTAAAGCAGGCAATATATTAGCAACTTTCTTGGAAGTGATTGCACTGCCGAATTTGAATGAACAATCGTTTTAAGAAATAAAGTTATTACCCCTCTTCCAACTAAACTCGGTTCGAAAACATTCTTAAATTTTATATCGGCCGTATTGTAACGGCTGTAACCCTTTCAGCAGAACGAGCTCTCATAGACGTTCACAGATCGTGGCCCCTGAAATTATAAATATTCAAACTTAAATGTTACTGTTTTACAGTTGCCAGTTTTCCTCATTTTCCTTTGGCCAAGGAGTTAAATAGGTAGAGTACCTAAATACAGGCTTTCCCCCCCCAAAAAAACTGAAATGGCAAGCAAAACTTAGTTTCACACCAATTTCATAAAATCGTCAAAAAAATACACGAAAAACTCTCTTCTCTTTGGAAAAGCATCCGATTGGAAAGTAACTGATGCATTGGTGTAACTTGACGCTCAACAATCCAACTGCAAGGATTTCAAACAGACACATTTTCATCGGATTTTCTGTCGAGTCTTGACAGAGGCAAGTAGTTGCTAAGATGGCTGGCGGTGGTGGTAGTGTTATCCTGGTCACTCTTGCTGAACAGATGAGATCCCGGGCCCTCTGCAACAAGGGTTGTAATCAAACAAAACATTCATGTGAAATAATCTGTACAAAGTTGATTAATGCTGGTTAACTCTTAACTAGCGCAAGTTTGAGCGACGACAATGTACGGCTCGACTAGCACCGCCCGAAAGATGGAAGGTTTGGACAAGCTAGTCCACCGTTTGTAACCAGCAGGCCCCAGGGTATGGTCACACCGCTGGTTGTCAATAACCAATTTCATTTATCATTACGGAGGGGACCATTCACATGAAAATAAATGTACGAGATTTCATTGACCGTGTGCGCTGCGAGAATCCTAGCCAACTTCGAAATGTGAGAAATAATGAGATTTAAAAAAAAATGGCCAACTAGGGTCGATCGAGTGTCAAATGAACTGCGCGCGCATTGTTAAAAAGCATCTGACAACTGGTCGAACTAAACTTCACGTCAAACTTGCCATATTGTTCACGAAAAAAACGGTAAAACAACGAGAAAACGAAGTATGTCCATAAACAGCGAAATATGAAAAAAAATCGAAAGTTTTCTTTGACTTGAAAAGCTGCCAAAATTTTGCATCTTCACCACTTAAAAAGTGCAGCTCACAACAGACTTATATATATATATATATATCAATAATACAAAAATAGGCAAAAAATACAAACATTCAAGAATCAAACAATGCTTTCTGCTCTCTGATTTTGCTTTGCTTACTGTGTTTAATTCCATACCCTAAAGTGTTTAGTCTGTATGCGCTATTCGTTTTAGATTGTTGCGTTTGTCCTTTTAGGTGCGCTGTGGTGACTTTTTATTGCTGTTTATTAAGCTGTGCACAGCATGTTAAGTCGTTCTATGTTTGTGGTAAAGTCGTCGTGGTAGAGGTAAGAGATTTTGTCAGTAAAGACGTACTTCCAAACTTCTCCCCTTCCTCGATGGTGTCAGGCAATTCCCGGCCCAGGGTTTCAGGCAGCATCAGCGACAGTGTCCCGGCCAGTAAGGAGCTTCCAGCGAAGACACACAGAGGAAGCGGTTCCCAGTACTTGCCAAGGAGCAGAATGATGGGGCAGAGAATGCCGCTGATACGCCCTGCCATGGAAGACATACCCATGCCGATGCTCCTGCATTATAGAGAAGATAATTTCAGCCCTTTAAATATGGCATTAGTCCCAGGGTTAATAATTATATCTTCTCCTTGCACTACAATTCCTCACGTTCAAATCCTGCCTAGAGGGCACCGTGGATTAATGTTGTTCAAGTGCACCCACGTTTTCATTCTGTGTAAGCAAGCTTTTCCCTTAATCCGCCTCCTCTACCATAAGTGCAAACATGAGGCTTCAATGAAACGAGTCATAAAGCTAGTTTAAAAGACAACCTTAAGACCAAGTCCTATATATTTCATTCTGAACGTTTTCTCTGCAATATGAATATCTCTAATTTGTTTGAAACAAATGCTACAAGATCGAGGGCCTTCAAACCTGACAACCGTCGGATAGATTTCACAGGAGTAGATGTAGATGTGGCTGAAAGCCCCGCTGACAGCAAACTTCCCTGCCATGGCTACTGCTGCCCGCGCTGGACCCAAGGCTGTTTCGAACACACCATGGAAGCAAATAAATCGGAGGTACAGTTAGGGGTAATCTGTAAGGCTAAAGATCCTTAGGCATAACAGGAGCAACTAGTTTTTTTTTTCTGTTTAAGCTTGACAACAACGGACATCAAATCAATTTGTTTGGCTCTGCCTAGTCTTGGTTCCAAGACCTTCCAGTAGTCATTCCGCAACACAAACCGCATACGTACACTTTTAGAGCTCGCTATCACCACAAATCGTTATCCTGTGATAGCGATTCGTGATGTGACAGCGCCCTGAACATGTACCTGTAATGCACATATATGTGTGTACACGTATGTAATGGTTGTGTCGTGGAACTGGAATGTCTTGCAACCAAGACTAGGCTCTACCCTGCACCAATGAACAATTTGGCCAGGCTGATGTTGGTCCGTCACAATGTTCCAAACCCTTGCAACCACTTGTAAGTACATGCACATGTATCAATGTGTGCATGCGTAAAACTCACGAATGAAAATGCTGATGAAACAGAATACTCCTGCAGAAATGTAGAATCCGACCAATGAGAGACGCCTGCCGATTCGCTCCATTATGAACCAACAGAAAAGGTAGCTTGGAATCTCAACAGCTCCGGACACGAAGGCAGCGATGTAGTCGTCGACACCAAGGGCTTGAGTACTCAGAGACAGCCCGTAAAACACCATGATGGCAGCAAACCTACAAGAAAATAACAAAACAAAATTGGAACCGACTCGTCGGTTCAGTTCTATGGCCTACCATGCTAACAAAGATCAACCCGAGAAAACCCAACTACAGAATCTGACAGTCAACCTTTAGAGGGATCCCAATACGACACTTTTAGCGTCGATCTGCGCACTTCCGCGTTTGAAAACGATCGAGGCAGTATGTGTCGGCTTCATCGTCGATCACACGATTGAAAGTGAGGAGTCAAGACACAAAATACACACAGGTATGTTACATTTTAGACTTTTCACGTTGCAAAATTTAGTGGCAGAGAAACAATAACGGCAATTTACTACTAACGTACCGGCGATGGTCGTGTATCTGCATGTGCAGAGGGCGTGGTTTAAACTGAAGTGGCGTCACACTTACGAACCGGACACTGCATGTACTGTGTCGACTCCGCGGGCGCGCGCGAGGAAGATAATACAAGGAGCCTCAGTTTCGATGCTGATATGCGCAGACGGCGCTGATGTGAAACCCCTCTATAGTTCTGGCGGAGAAGTGAGAGTAAATCCGGCATTTTCGCCCAGCCACACAAAGCCAGAAAAATAGAATGTAAGGCCTACATCTGTACAGTTACTTCACTTCACAAAGGAATACGTAGATTTCATTGGGGGCTTGGGAGACGCTTGGTGGCTGCAGACAAAGGGTCCTTTCAATTTGTGCTCAGATTTACACGTGCATGCCACGTATGTTTGAACCTATCGTTTAGCTTGTGCGCATGCGCACTGAATCATGCTAAGGTCAGTGGCCAGCAAGATGGCTTTTGACTAAGGTAGGTTGACCCCAAAAGTAACAGATCGACATCACACTCAGATTTCGTTGTTTCCCCCTTTGTTTCCATACTGATTAGAATTTCAACCCCAAAAGTCTCGGCAGTGATAAACTAAAAATGCACTCACGGTCTCTGGGGACCAAACCTAAGTGATGCAGTGCGCGTGCGTGCCCAGGACAGACAAAAAGGACTGTTGGTTTTCTTTCACCACCAACCGTCTCATGACAACCCACTCTCCTCACCAGTCAAGGCACATTACTAGAGTTTTCTTCCGCAAGTTGGGGGTTCGGAAGAGATCCAAGTGTGTCACTCGTCGTGCTGCATCAGACGGAACCTCCTGACAGTAAGTACATGATCATATACATGTTCAAATCATAATCATTTATTGTTAGAATAATCCTGGCGTATTTGGAGCACACGTTGGGTACAGGGGATGAGTTCTTTGCTGTGCAGAAAACTAAATCAATTTTTCGTCCAAAAATCTAGAAATTATCTGTGCTTTGGAACGAACGGGATCGTAACTATACAATAGTCTTTCAAAGCACTCTGTCTTTTTTTTTCAATTGCATGTGTAATACTTGTGGAAACAGATTTTGAATTAAGTTTGTTGTATCACTTGCTTCCGAACCATTTAGCAACAACTCAACGGAATCCTTTTAACTTATTTTACGCTAAAGGGTTAGCATTTCAAGTTGGAAAGACTGACACTGCCAGGGAAATGCCGAAACTATGAGTAGTATAAGAGGTACTGGCATCATTTTAAAGCCTTGTGCAGAGCGCCCTCAGTCAGCTATTGACGGCCATTTTCGTAATTTCTTAATTAAAATTTTTTTACGGCCAAATGCAAAGACCTTATAAACCAACCTACCTCTGCCGATGCTGAATAACCTAGTTTAGCCGCCTTTGAGGTAGGAACTTCCCCTTGGCTGGTATAAGTTTCACCAGAGCCAGCCTCTTGTTCAGTCCCATAGGAATACGTACTATAATCTCTCTGCCACGTGGCCCTTATGGGGTCGATTACACAAAGGCTGCCTGTCATATATCTATTGTCAGTCTCTCTGATGTGTCTCTGAGCTGTCTAGACAGCAGTCCGAGTTGTTTCATCTTGTGGGGGGATCCCATTTTTGTTGACTTAGTGGCCCCTCCCCCTGGACTGGATAAAATGTACTGTTGCCGTATTCTGACCTTTTTTTCTTCTTTTTTTTGGTAGGCATTGGTAGATGCCCAGGGACACCCTCAAATCAATTTAAATGCCACTACAAGGGTGTTTGGGGCTGGGGGCATGATTACAAATGGCTATATGACATTGACGGAGTTGGGCCCATGATCAGTTAAATACGAAGTCGGTGCACCAGAGGATTTTAACTGAAGTCTTCAAGTGTTTCATTACGTGGAAAAACCATGGATTTGGAAAAGTACGTTGAGAAAATATTGATCAATAGGCCCAACCATCACAATTTGCATTCTACATAATACCTTTTTCTGTTCGTCGGTAGGTCCAGTTTCACGACTCTTATTAATTACGTCCTCAGAAACCGTTGTGCCGTTGACTTTGGCAATTTTACGGATGATCTTCTTAGCTTCACTGAACTTGCCTTTCGATATCAGCCAACGCGGTGACTCAGGAAAGATTCTGCCGACGAAAGCAGGGAAATGATTGAATTCTTGGCCAATGTTTAAGGCATACATGGGGTAATGAAAAAGTACATAAATCTGTCCCTCCGTACTTCATTTTGATAATGTGCAGTGTCATCACGTCTGTAAGCAGATGTCATTTGACAAATAACTTGGGTTCACCCAGTTTGAACAGCATGTCCTGCTTCTGTAACAGTTAACACTTAATTCGGAGGCGTGTGTCATACCAGACTGGGCTGACCGTAAATTCCATCCCACAAACTACAAAACTGCTTATCGCATATAACTATTAAGTGATTAATTGGAAGAGTTTGAACAAATTTTCCTTCAGGAATAAGGACTGGAATTACATGAGTTTTGATCACAATGATGACAGTTGTGCTGTCATGAATGAAACTCCCAAATGCCTGTTGACAATGTAATTTGTTCAACTTATTTTCGCAAGGTTTTGAACCGAACACGGAGTCGTATCAACTTCGATTTTCCCGGTTGCGTATTTTTTCCCTTGGAGGTTTAAGGGTGATTATAGTGAAATGGGTGTATCTGAAACGTTGCGCATGCGTTTTGTGTAGGGAGTGGGGGCAATTTCCATAAATGGGGTACACAAACTTTTAAGTGTAAGACTCAACAAAATTGCTTTCCTTACCGACTTGCAGGCTAGCTTTTTGTAAGGAAAGCGTTATAGGTCTACTTAGAACCAACAAACCGAGGGTTCAAGTTTATTACGTAGGCTAGTAATTGTTTTTCTTGGTGGTAATTAGTCGGTTGGAGAATGTTTTTACAATAGTAAAGTAAAACCCGACAGTTACCCTAGCAATCAAGTTTCTAAATGTCCATTAACCTGATCGAGCTTGCAGTTAACCACGCCCATATATGATAACTACCCCCAACCCTCCTAGGAAAAAATACGCTTCCCAGTTAGCAAGGTCGTAAAAAACGGTTACAATAAACTATGCAACAGGATCAAGACGAACTAAGTAATTGACTGAACCCGGATCTGAACCTGCGACCTCCGGGATACCGTACCGCTGCTCCTCCAACTGAGCTATCTAGCCCTCTGTTGGCGGCTCTTCCCATGTGTCAATGTCTTTGCTTCAGCGTAGTCGGAAGCCATGAAACCCAAAACACAGTAAAGCCAGGGATCACCCCCCATTAATACAACACAAACCTGGGAAGTGGTGAATTGGGATCACTCAGGGAGGATACGATTGTTGGCACACAAATCACGAAACAGATCACATATGGAACTGACTGTACTGAGTCTTGGTCTTCATCTTAAACAGTTTTGCGATATTCCAGGAGAAATTGTTGGTGGAAGATTTTTTAATTAAGGACAGAGTCATGTTCGTATGCTCTTTGACAAAGACTGACTTGTGCAAAACCATCAAAGTAGCACTGTCACGTGCATATTGTGGAAAGTTTTTTCCTGAGAAATGAAAAACTTTCACCTTCTGTTCACTTGAATGAAAACGTGTGAAGATCTTGTTTGTATTGTTTAAACACGCAATACATGTAGTAATCAACATGAAAACACGCAAAGCAGAATATCCACTTTTTCCTTTAAAGTTGTAGTGAAGGAAGAAAGAGCCACTTATTCCCCTTTGTTGTTAATTTCTCCTCAAGTACATGTATATACTTACAGGATCAGTAGGAATCCAGGGATATAAGGAAGTGATATTGCCAACTGTAGATGGCGCCATTCCCGTACAAAGAAAGCCACAAAGGATAAGAGCAAGAAACCCAGTGCGAAGGCGATCGAGTGCAGAGTACCAACCAAAACACGTTTCTGAGGCCCAACTATCTCCGTTGCTGTTGACAAATAATACAACCATACAGCATCAATGACTGACAGGTTGGAGCTTTTGCCTTGGAGTAAAGTAATCTAAAGCTGTAGCTTGAGGGGTTGAATATTATAAAATGTAATGCAACATTTAGAATATATAAAAATTATGAGGTCCCTCGTCAAATATCGCTTCTTATTAACCAAAAAATACACACGCTCATTATCTCAAGAAGACATGAACTTGTAATTAGCCCGACTTCGCACATTTTACACGTGCAAAGTTATGGGTTGCAAGCATAAGCATAAAAAAGAGAGCAAATTTTGTTGCAATCAGGTGGTTCAGTATTACGTGCAATGTTTCGTTTAATAGGGCAAACGACAACAATTGCTGAACTGCCTCTCGGACTTTGCTGCACTTTTGATGGAGGCTGAAATCCAATTTCTGTAGAATTGAGAAAGGCAAGAAATTGAATACCCACATGCAATGGAAGCTATCAGGCTAGCTCCGTAGCCACAAGCTGCAGTGATGAACCGCATAGCCATGTAAGCTGCAAAGTTGGGTACAAAACTCGTCACAATGGATGAAATAGTGACGAGAAAAAGACTGAAGAAGAAGGCAAACTTTCGGCCAAGCCTGGCAAAAAAAGAGAAGAGGCAAGAAAACAGAAACACAAGTAAACCAAAGTATATCAAATGGAGTATTTAAGCATACAGCACACAGCCTGGGTCAGCTTGTTGGTGGTTGACATTATCAGGGATTGGATATATATGCGATAGGCCACAGATTGGGGCATTTCTTTATTTGGCCAGTTGACTGAATTAAGAAAATAATTGCGTCTTGGTCAACATATATACAATTGAAACTGATGAAGTAAATAAATATACTTACTCCTATATAGGGGACTTTCAAGTTAGACGATTATATTCTGCTCTTAAAAACTAATGTATTATTTTCTCGAGCTCAAACCTCAAAATTAGAAAGGAAACCATGTCAGAGCGGTACCCCCTTTACAGGTTTCTTCAGGTTTACGAGCTAAAGTTAGGCGCTTTTGGTGTCATAAGATATAAATAATAATATGAACAATAATTACAGGATTGAATCTGAGATTTCGGAAACCGTGTTGCCCGCGACTCACCTCTCGCGCGAAGTCTGCAAAGTTCCCCGAATCGCAAAGTTTGTTTTTAGCTCATGCATGCAAAAGGCAGCCCTGCTGATTTTTGTCGACTGCGTGCACTTTATACGAAAGAAATTATTTTTTGCAGTCTTCATTTTGTACTCAAAAACATGTTTCAACTAGAAAATAAAAGCCATGATGATTTTAGAAATTTCAAAATCTGAGAGTAAATGGCCATGAAATTTACACCCATATGCACATTTTTAATGGGCTGCTCACGCTTTTGTGCCATCCTGGCCATTAATGGGTATTTTCTACTCGGAGTGTATAATTATAATTGTGCACGATGTAGCGCTTTAAGTAAACGAGCGCAGTTCCATGCATCCAAAACACGGAGTAGGCCTAAACCTGTTTTTGAGTTAAACTCGAAATATTCAGATGTCTCAATGCTCTGTATTACTGATTTAAATAATATCATTTTACAGTCGACTCCCCTTGGAGACGAACTTTTATCGTTTGAGCTAAAATGCCATTAGGAGGTCAAGAAATGGAACCAAACTAATTAAGAATACACAAACAACCGCGGAAAAGAGGGAACGAATCATCATTCAATTTACCAACAAGCAGTTCATGGTTATCGTTTCGATTCAAATCTGCAAAAACTCACCAGTCAGCTACCGATCCCCACACAAAGGAACCCGCTAGTAAACCTACGAACCAGACAGACTGAGCAATACCAGCGAAATCTCCCCGCTCACAAACCAGACTGAACTGAAAAATGAAAGAGACACCCAAATAAACATACAAACAATCAAAGAAAAGACAAAGACATATAAGGCTTTCAGCTCTGTGGCCCGCGATCATTTTTTAAAGAATTAATTGTAATTATCGCAAGTATTTCAAAGAATTTGAAATACGGGAGACCATGTGTGGGGCGGTGATGCGGAGAAGCAACCTACGCGAATCAATTTTGTTTTTTCAGCGGCGAGTAGTCTTTATGGTGGCCCTGAAAGGACATCACCCGTTGCAAATATCTTCGGATGTGTTTGTCAAAATATTTGCCACGTCTCAAATATTTTCATAAATTAATAGTTACAGACATTTGCGACGTGTGATTGCCCTCTAGGGCTGTCATAATCCTTAACACTCAACGGAAAACGAAATCAATGATTTTCAAAGGTTATTCTGTTGGTGGTGTAGATAAAATTTACACATTACATTATGCAGACAAAGAAATTCAACAGGCGCAAGAAAAATGAAAATATTTATCTCGTTCACAGCCGTTCACACTTCATATAAGGTTACCATGAATGGGTGTCCCCAGGATTTTTTTGGGAGGGGAAGAAGTACTTTTTTTTCCAAAGGGGTGGGGGAGTTTAAGGGAGATGGACAAAGTACTCGTCAACAACGAACTCGCTTTTTCTCTTTTTGACTTTCATTCTGTTCCCGTTATCACCGCAGTGCAGTTTTTAAAAGCTGAGCCTTCAGGACTTTTTGAGTACCTCTTAGCAGTCATTTTGACACCAATTTTGTGAAAATCGAACAACTTTCTGAATCTACTTCTTGTTGGTTGTGGTGGTTGTCGATTGTGGTTGTTGTAGTTGTTGTTGATGTTGTGATGGTTACCGATGTTGTTGATGTTGTTGTACATTTAGTTGATTTGGATGTTGTGGCTGTTGCAAAATTAATGCGAGAATTTACAACCTTTACTGAGATGACATACCTCCTCGTTGATTGTGGACTTGTAGCGCGACCGGTCAAAATCCCACCCAGCATCACAGGCGATGACATCCGTGGAATTCCAACCTTGATCGCCATCGTCCTCAGCAGTCGCGTACCGCTCACACGAGGAATAAACTCGCTTCCCGTCGTCGTCCAGCTCATACGGTATGCTCTCGTTCTTCTGTGCCTCCTGACAGGCAGACACAGAGTCCAGCTGAAGTTGAGTGCAGTTGATAGCCTCGCTTGCCGGAATCAAGCACCAATGATCGGTGTTGGCGGCCAGGAACACTTGAGCTAGGAACTGACACGCTGTTGGAAGCTGTATCAGGCATAGAGCCAGGACTACGAGTTTTTGGTACTTGCCGAAATTCCCAACATGATGCAAGATGTCCTCGAAAAGCATTATGACGGTTGCTTTATCTAGTGATGTGGATATGATGCATGCTTAGGCAGCTCATGATACGAATTGGGCTTTTCGTGGCAGATGTTAAGTAATGGATTAATACTACTCTCACCAATGGGCTGACGTGTATATTTCATCGTGTTGTTGCGTTTTGTAACAAACCCAATGTTATACATTATGCCAAATTCTATACTGCATGCAATAAAATGTGCGCCTACTTCGTGCACTGGCATCTACCAAAGAACACAATGTTATAGCATGGAGGTAGAATTCTACCTCCATGGTTATAGTTACTGAACCCTGCAAACCACATCTGCCTGTTACTGTGCCTGTAAACACCTCCATAACTCGGCCAGTGATACCCACTGAACAAATACAAGTGACAATGAAATATACATGAACCGTTACGCATAACCTGTATCGCTGTCTATACACACACGACCACCAAATTACCACGCATACACGTTTATGTTAAGCACTACAGGGTGTCTAACAAACGGTAATCCTACCTAAAGGGGTTATTGTGGCCAGACTATTTGTTTACCAGCAAAAAGCGCTGTATCGTCTTAAAGCCGAAGCTTCATCACGCCTTTCAATGAAACCTTGGGTCATGCATCACGGAGCACCATTGTCTTAAAATTGTGGTGCAAAAATACAGTTGCTTCACTTGTGAACCGATGTCATTCTGGCACACAGACAATGTATCAACCTCCAGTTGTCATAATGGTTCAGCTAACGGCAGAACAGAGAATCTTTGTGGTCAAGAAATGGCATGAAACCGGAAGTTTGCAGGCTACACAGGACGCCTTGCGAGAAGCATTCCCAGACCGAGAACCACAAGCGAAGAAAACAATCTGGGCCAATGTGAGAAAGTATGAAGCGCACGGAACCAGCCTCAACCGCAACACAGGACGTTCAGGAAGGCCAAGGACGGCGAGATCTCGAGAAAGCATCGCTGCCGTATGACAGCAACTGATTTACCACCCAAAGGAGACAAGTGCAAGACGGACTGAGCCACGCCACTTTTAATTGGATCACGCGTCATGACCTTAATTTCCATCCGTTCCGCGTCCACATCCGTCATCATGATCTGCCTGCTGATCTTGAAGACAGACTTCTTGTGAGCGGCTTCTTGAGCGGTGTGAGAGAAATTCCAGATTTCTTCGCAACTTCTTGATCGGGGATGAGGCTGCGTTTGCAATGAACGGTGAGGTCAACACCCACAATGTTGTTCAGTGCGCCCCAGCTGGAGGAAGGAGGGGATTGTGGCAATGGCGTGATCATTGGTCCATTTTGCTTTGAACGAAATGTCAGAGGTCAGGCCTATCCACTTCCAGCGTGGGCAAAATGGAATGTTCCGTTGTTTGGTGGGTTCAAGATAGTGCACCAGCCCATCGTCTCGTCGCTGTTCGAAATCGACGCTTTGAACCACCTCACTGAATGGCCCCCAAAGTCACCAGACCCCAACCCCTTTGACTTCTTTTTGTGGGGTCATTTGAAGAACGGAGTTTTCAGCACCCCTCCCCACAACATGCAGGATTTGCGTTAAAGGATTCATCGCGAGGTTGACAGTTTGCGACAAGATCCACGTGACCGTGGGACGAGCTGTGGAAGACATGCCCCGTCGATCTCAACTGTGCTTGAAGTTTAAGAGGGGAGGTGGACACGTGGAAGGTCTTGGCCCATGAGACAAAATCATACAAACTTCGGCTGTTAGGTGTTTTACACATAATCGTAAATAGAATCCATGGAGCAAACCAGGCTTAAAATTCAGGAATAAAATCCTGGAATTAAAAAAAATCATGAACCTGTGTCGATTTTGTCCCGGAGGAAAGGGAAGAAACTGCATTTTTTATACCCAGCATTCAGCAAGAAATGAGACCGAGGGGTACCCCCCCAACATGTCCAATTCCAGACTATTGTTACTTAACACATCCCCCAAGATGTCTGAAAGGAATTCCCCAGATTCCTGCGAGACAATGACCAACACAAAGCAGGGGGGTTCTCTCCGTCTCATACCTTGCTGCATATGGCATTTTTGCACCATAATTTCAAGACAATGGTGCTCTGTGGTGCGTGGCCCTGGAATGCTACCCAAGGTTTCATTAAAAGGCGTGAAGCTTCGTCTTTAAGATGATACAATGCTTTTTGCTGGTAAACAAACAGTCTGGTCATAATAACCCCTTTGAGTAGGATTACCTTTTTTAAGATACCCTGTATGTATAATCATCCCTGGCATGCCATGTTGGGTCACGATTAATCCACTCATGTGACATCATCCTATTACAGTGACAACATATGAGATATTTCGCGATTAGCCTGACGATCCGCTCGTACAAAAATTATCAGTTTTTAATACAGAACAGAAAACACTCATCGGCAAGATACTACACAAATGACTGTGTTCTACAACAAAACTTACAACCATAAGCAGCAAAATCTCCCTAGAGTGTGAGCAAAATCATATCAAAATTGGAGGATTCAGGACAGTTGGGTTTAGCCCTAACAGTCCTGAATCCTGAATAGCCAAGGTCTAACATAAAACTCTGCGTGTGGCTAAGCTAACAATGAAAGCGACTACACTGTGTTCGTTAAATTTACGTGAACCTAACATTTGAATTCTCCCTACCACAGACACTGTTGCTCTGTAGCTATGCCTCGTCCTTCGGGCAAGCGTTTGCTTATACAGTTACGTAAGAGACGCCTTGCACAATACAATGTTTTCAACGGATTAGAAGGACACAAAGGATCCAGCCATTGCTTTGCAAAAGCTTGTCCCAAATCACGAGGTATACAGCAGCAGTGTCTGTATATAATACGGAGAATTCTGAATTGTTTGTTTATATGCTAGATTAGATTTTAATCGAAGTTTACTCGCAAAAGGCGCCACCTAATATTTGCCTTTTATACCGCTTAACGCGTGCAAATTCATTTATCAGAACGCTGGTTTACGACCAACACTTAGTCTATAGCCTACTTGCAGTGGGAATCGAGGCTGCACATGAAATTTTGTAACAGCTTTCAGTAGGGTGATTTTACCTTGCTGTGTAGGTCAGTGGAGTGACTAGACGCTGGTTTTCAGACAGTCGTGTAGCGGGTCACACTTCTAGATGTTCGGAGTCCTCAGTCGAATGAATGTCTAACTTGCGAGTGGGACTGACATCAACTCCGCAAGTTTTGGGAAAAACTAAGTTGTTCACTTCGCTAGACTCAACCTAACTGCGCAGCACATGGCACTGCAACCGAGGGCTATATGCATTGGTGGATGAGCATTGCGCTGTGTACAGAGCATTCAGGGAGTGGCTCTGTTGCAGGCCATGACTGCGTGGGTTATTCAACCAACTCTAAGTCATTCATGAACGAGAACGAGTATTCAGTAGACACACAACACAATAACCGGGTCGTGGGGTTGTCGGGGACTCGATGTAAAAAGGCCATGCACTGTTGGGGAATTCGTTTTTCTCTTATCCATGGCTGAACTATAATTATTAGCAATAACACAAGCCATGTCACGTACATGCCTTGGTCAAGGCCATAGAAACAACACTTTCAGAGGCGAATCTTGCGGTGGTTACCCCCCCCCCCATTTAGCCGCGGACTAAAGGGATCTCACCAGTGAAATGACTAGAAACGAATAAAAAAATCCTGCACGAGGATTGCGCCGTCCATAAACAATTAGTTCGATAGTTTTAGATTAGAGGAGAAATTAATACTGTAACTTTTGGAGTTTTCTTTTCATCGGGGAACGGTGCATGATGACCCTTAGCAGGGCATGTCCCTTCAGTATGCCCATCCCCCCTTTTACTTGAATGCTAGATCCGCCCCCGACTTAAACAGTGCTCTTATTCGGGTTCGATTGTACCATGGAGAAATGTTTTATTTCTCCATGATTGTGCTAGCCACACCTGTAAGCCTGTACTGTAAAGTGACACGTCTCTATAGCTCATACAAGAAGATATTTTATGAGGCAATGATCAGGTTAACCCCTTCATGGCAGGATTATTTTGACCGCGCTTGCTGAGCTGTAAGTAACATGCCGTGAATGGACGGCTTTGTCCAGCAGCAGGCTCCGTTAAACCAGCAGCTGCACGGTGACTGGACTGTATGTGTGGTATGCACTAATGCTCACAGAAAGGTGCTGTAGTAGCAGTCTTCCGTAGCGGAGGGGTTTTAAGATAAGGTCGTGTTTATGACAAGGACACTTAGGTCCCAAGTCTTTGTGTTTCGTTGTTTTCCATTACTGCTAATAAAAATAACTATTATAACAAAGAAAGTGTGAAGTCCCAAAGACCTTGTTATGACAGTGTTCCACAGCATCATTAAAGTGGATCCACATTATAGCATAGTTGGCTTTAGGTTCTGTTGTAACGTAGAAGCAAGTCATAACAACCAAAAGAACGGAACAAACGAAAGATGGCTGTGCACAAACTTCTACAACCTTTTAGTTGTTGTTTTGTTTTAATGGGGCTTTCAGCATCTCAGGCTATTGGCGCCAATAACTGTACGTTTATTCATACACTTTGTTAATCAGCATCACATTACGGAGTTAGGGAGAAGGTCCAGTTTTAGAGGCAGGAAGGAACCGGAGTCCCTAGAGAAAATGTGCAAGAGCGAGTATGGCCTGGAAACTAAATGCCCCTAGCGCCTGGGCCAATCCGGGACTGGAACCCGGGCCTCATTGGTGCATGCAAAGCGAGGAAAGAACCGCTACACTAACCTGCCCCCCCCACAACCTTTTATTAGTACGAGACACACTCTTATATACACACAATGCACTGTCAAAACCATTTAACTGTAAAGCAGTGAACCAATACCAAATTAGCATCTTAGTTACCCGCATAGCAATTTCAGGAATTCGTCAGGTGAGTCTAAACTTGCTCTATGGTATGTAGTTATTCAAATCACACAATACCACAAGTTCCTCGGAAAACAGAGTTTGCTTTAATATAATTGCAACCAGTGGAACAAAGGCTACCATACACTTTCATTTGACGAATAACCACTCGCGAAATTGCTCACGATGGTACAACCAAAGATTTCAAACCGAATTTGATGTCCCATGCCGGCACTAAACTCGCCAAAATCTGGCTTTTAAAAGAGATTCGGTGTCTCGTGTTACATGAAAAGAAAGAAATCTTTCTTTGTACTAAAATGATAAATATTATCATTTCAACCATGTGTTAGAACTCCATTCCTCATGTAAACCAAAACTGGCCACATACAACACGTACATGCATATCCAATCTACCATTTTTCAGCCGTATACTAAGTGCCGACGCAGCTCTAAGATAACACTTAATGGTAGCAATAAAAAATGAAGCCTGCCAACCACTTGTAATTGCTGTAATCTACGAAAGCCCATTGGTGCCACCGTATGTTAGTAAATTGTTATTCATTACGGATGATTAATTCGTTACAACGGCTTATTAATTCGTTATTATGTAGATTAATTTGTTATTACGGATTACTAAAGATTACCTAACCTGTTACTTTTGTGAAGCGATCACGGAAATAAAACGTGCACGCTTGCGCCTTTGCACGAGGTAGGGCGCGCTCCTAGGGGTCATATTTGCATGCCAGTCGCATGATTTTGACGACGGCTAGCGTTCAAGTAAAGGCGCCTTTCCATATGCGCGTCAACAATTGTGCCCAGCCTTACGCATCCGTCACTGGTCGCTCTCGGGACGATTTTGACGGCCGAAGGCAACGCACACGTGTGTTGATTTTTGTGTCCGTCAAATACGTGAACCCATCGTGTACGCAACAATGCGGTTGCAACATTTGAAAAGAAGAGATAGCAGTACTGAAGAGAAAAAAATGAAATCGTATTTTGAGAGCACATGTAAATAAATACAAACATTCCAAGTGCGTCACGCAAAATTCGCACTGAACGCGCTGCAATCCACCGTTTTGCCTATTGCTTGCCCATGCTTTTCAAAATTACGCGTTTATTTGTCTGTGGATTGTACTACCCGCCCTGAGTTAAAGTGCACCCTCACCGGTGAAAGAAAGACAGGCTGGTATACCAAGTTTTTCAACTGAGTTCGTACAAAGACTGTCAATTTCTTTCAAAACACGCCCTCTTTTGTTCCCGCTTGGAGTGGATAGCCTGTAGGTGGCGTCAAGGCAAGTTTCGATTTCCGATTTCTGCATGTACAAATGTGATACTGATCGCTGACTATTTTTATCACTGTGTAAAATCATTATTTTGCGGGAAATAATTGTGTTTGTGATTAATTTGGGGGCGAGAATTCACTTATGAAAACCTTTTGAGACAAGTGTGCTTTTTTCAACAGCATTATTCGATACGGTCGATTCACAAAAGTACGCCTCCAAGAGTCTGCGACACGTTGACCAATCACGAAATCTGTCAACCCAATGCCCGACTTTGCACGGGGACAAATTTCGGGGGACAAGGTAATTACCCGAACACTTTTACTAGGGTGCGATCTGGTGAAAGTGTCCGGGGATTTCACTATTCAGGATCGACGCATTCCTGATTTTCTCCACGGGACGAGGCTCTTAATGTACTCCTGCAGTTTCTGTGGGCCGAGAAATTGTTTGTGGGATTCACGGTGTAAGCATGCATGGCACAGAATCAACACCCCAGATTCAAGGGCTATATATATATATATATATGTATATCACTCAACCACCAGCATGCAGGTGTTGGTTCATGGTTTCAGCAATGAATCTGAGAAAGTCCAGTGCCCAAAGCGCCACTCTGAGCGGAGTCAACCTTCACTTAAGAATGCGACCAATCAAATTTCAAGGAAGATGAGATTTATGCATTTTTCAAATGAAACCCCTCGAATTTCCGGGCTCTTCTGACGATTTTCAAAAACATTTTTGTCTGCTCACCCCAGATGGGAGCCCTTGAATCTGGGGTGTTGATTCTGTGCCATGCATGCTTACACCGTGAATCCCACAAACAATTTCTCGGCCCACAGAAACTGCAGGAGTACATTAAGAGCCTCGTCCCGTGGAGAAAATCAGGAATGCGTCGATCCTGAATAGTGAAATCCCAAAAAAGACACTGCATTTCTTTTTCCTCGATATATTTCTATTGAATGATAACATTTTAAATTTTTTCAAGGACCGATAAGTTTTATTGAGGAAAAAGGCATTCAGCAAGCGTCACGTTTAAATTCCCGGTTTAATGTAGTATTTTCATGTCATCCCAAAGATGAAAGTTAGCTGCCTAAAAAACTAAGCATATCGCTACGGTAGGACCACTTGTATTATTTGGGCTGAAAGTTTGCATGGGGATATGCAAAACGTAACGCGTACTGAAGCTTTGAACGAGAACTTGGATGTCAACGAAATTAGGTTTTATTCTCTGCTATGTGGTGAAGCCGTCATTTTAAGATCTAAGACATCAACATTGATAGGATCGTCTCCACTTTCAGCAACAAGGCCACCCGTACTGCGTATCCTAGTGCGCCCAAGGGGAGGGGGTGGGAATTTTGATTAAGAGACGACTCCACATTTTTATCTGAAATTGCTAATCCCCCGAAGAAAGATGGTAATACGTGAGGCTACCGGAGCTTTCAATAGCAGCATATACCATCACAGCCCCGAAGAACAAATTATATGAAATACTGGAACACTTCCCCATGTTTGATTCCAAGAAGGCTGCAGTCACATCACCCGGGTCTTCCTTATTACTCTACCATAAATAACAATTTTTTGCAGACTAGACAAAATAGCCAACCATAAACGTACGTCTGTCCGGTAAATGTCGAAACCAAATGCTTCCCTCCGTAACAACTGTCCGTACCCCAGGAAGGGAAAAAGGGAGAACAAAAGAAAACAATGAAAACAATAAACATGCAACAGCTTTGCTATGGGAGAAAATTTGCTCTGGAACCCACCCCCCCCCCCACG